GGCTTGAGCAGGAGGACCTTGCGTGGGCTGCAGGATTTTAATCCATGACGGCGTAGTGTGTTACTAATGGTTTTCTTTGAGACTGTGAACCCAGCTCTCTTCAGGTCATTGACCAGGTCCTGCTGTGTAGTTCTGGGCTGATCCCTCACCTTCCTTATGATCATTGATGCCCCACGAGGTGAGATCTTGCATGGAGCCCCAGACCGAGGGTGATTGACCGTCATCTTGAACTTCTTCCATTTTCTAATAATTGCGCCAACAGTTGTTGCCTTCTCACCAAGCTGCTTGCCTATTGTCCTGTAGCCCATCACAGCCTTGTGCAGGTCTACAATTTTATCCCTGATGTCCTTACACAGCTCTCTGGTCTTGGCCATTGTGGAGAGGTTGGAGTCTGTTTGATTGAGTGTGTGGACAGGTGTCTTTTATACAGGTAACGAGTTCAAACAGGTGCAGTTAATACAGGTAATGAGTGGAGAACAGGAGGGCTTCTTAAAGAAAAACTAACAGGTCTGTGAGAGCCGGAATTCTTACTGGTTGGTATGTGATTAAATACTTATGTCATGCAATAAAATGCAAATTAATTACTTAAAAATCATACAATGTGATTTTCTGGATTTTTGTTTTAGATTCCGTCTCTCACAGCTGAAGTGTACCTATGATAAAAATTACAGACCTCTACATGCTTTGTAAGTAGGAAAACCTGCAAAATCGGCAGTGTATCAAATACTTGTTCTCCCCACTGTACATATGAGATTAGTAGTGCAAGATATGTAAACATTATTAAAGTGACTGTAAACATTATTAAAGTGACTAGTGTTCCATTTCTTAAAGTGGCCAGTGATTTCAATAGGCAGCAGCAGCCTCTACTGTGCTAGTGATGGCTATTTAACAGTCTGATGGCCTTGAGATAGAAGCTGGTTTTCATTCTCTCGGTCCCAGCTTTGATGCACCTGTACTGACCTCGCCTTCTGGATGATAGTGGGGTGAACAGGCAGTGGCTCGGGTGGTTGATGTCCTTGATGATCTTTTTGGCCTTCATACATCAGGTGCTGTATGTGTCCTGGAGGGCGGGTAGTTTGCCCCCGATAATGCGTTCGGCAGACCGCACCACCCTCTGGAGAGCCCTGCGGTTGCGGGCGGTGCAGTTGCCGTACCAGGTGGTGATACAGCCCGACAGGATGCTCTCAATTGCGCATCTGTAAAAGTTTGTGAGGGTTTTAGGTGCCAAGCCAAATTTCTTCAGCCTCCTGAGGTTGAAGAGGCTCTGTTGCTCCTTCTTCACCACACTGTCTGCGTGGGTGGACCATTTCAGTTTGTTGGTGATGTGTACGCCAAGGAACTTTAAGCTTTCCACCTTCTCAACTGCGGTTCCGTCGATGTGGATAGGGGGGTGCACCCTCTACTGTTTCCTGAAGTCCACGATCATCTCCTTTGTTTTGTTGACGCTGAGTGAGAGGTTATTTTCCTGGCACGACACTCCCAGAGCCCTCACCTCCTCCCTGTAGGCGGTCTCGTCATTGTTGGTAATCAAGCCTACTACTGTTGTGTCGTCTGCAAACTTTATGATTGAGTTGGAGGCGTGCTTGGCCACGCAGTCATGGGTGAACAGGGAGTACAGGAGGGGGCTGAGCACGCACCCTTGTGGGGCCACAGTGTTGAGAATCAGCGAAGTGGAGATGTTGTTTCCTACCTTCACCACCTGGGGGCGGCCCGTCAGGAAGTCCAGGACCCAGTTGCACAGGGTGGGGTTCAGACCCAGGGCCTCAAGCTTGATGATGAGCTTGGAGGGTACTATGGTGTTGAATGCTGAGCTATAGTCAAAGAACATCATTCTTACATACAGTTGAAGTCGGAAGTTTACATACATTTACATTTTAGTCATTTAGCAGACGCTCTTATCCAGAGCGACTTACAGTTAGTGAGTGCATACATTATTTTTTTATTTTTCATACTGGCACCCCCGTGGGAATCGAACCCACAACCCTGGCGTTGCAAACGCCATGCTCTACCAACTGAGCTACAGCCCTGCCGGCCATTCCCTCCCCTACCCTGGACGACGCTGGGCCAATTGTGCGCCGCCCCATGGGTCTCCCGGTCGCGGGAGGTTGGACTCTTAGGTTGGACTCATTAAAACTTGTTTTTCAACCACTCCACAAATGTCTTGTTAACAAACTATTGTTTTGGCAAGTCGGTTAGGACATCTACTTTGTGCATGACACAAGTAATTTTTCCAACAATTGTTTACAGACTGATTATTTCATTTATAATTCACTGTATCACAATTCCAGTGGGTCAGAAGTTTACATACACTAAGTTGACTGTGCCTTTAAACAGCTTGGAAAATTCCAGAAAATGATGTCATGGCTTTAGAAGCTTCTGATAGGCTAATTGACATCATTTGATTGGATGTATTTCAAGGCCTACCTTCAAACTCAGTGGCTCTTTGCTTGACATCATGGGGAAATCAAAAGAAATCAGCCAAGACCTCAGAAAAGAAATTGTAGACCTCCACAAGTCTGGTTCATCCTTGGGAGCAATTTTCAAACGCCTGAAGGTACCACGTTCATCTGTACAAGCAATAGTACATAAGTATAAACACCATCGGACCACGCAGCCGTCATACCGCGCAGGATGGAGACGCGTTCTGTCTGCTAGAGATGAACGTACTTTGGTGCGAAAAGTGCAAATCAATCCCAGAACAACAGCAAAGGACCTTGTGAAGATGCTGGAGGAAACCGGTACAAATGTATCTATATCCACAGTAAAACGAGTCCTATATCGACATAACCTGAAAGGCCACTCAGCAAGGAAGAAGCCACTGCTCCAAAACCGCCATAAAAAAGCCAGACTATGGTTTGCAACTGCACATGGGGACAAAGATCGTACTTTTTGGAGAAATGTCCTCTGGTCTGATGAAACAAAATTAGAACTGTTTGGCCATAATGACCACCGTTATGTTTGGAGGAAAAAGGGGGTGACTTGCAAGCCGAAGAACACCATCCCAACCGTGAAGCACGGGGATGGCAGCATCATGCTGTGGGGGTGCTTTGCTGCAGGAGGGACTGGTGCACTTCACTAAATAGATGGCATCATGAGGAAGGAAAATTATGTGGCTATATTGAAGCAACATCTCAAGACATCAGTAAGGAAGTTAAAGCTTGGTCGCAAATGGGTCTTCCAAATGGACAACAAGCATACTTCCAAAATTGTGGCAAAATGGCTTAAGGACAACAAAGTCAAGGTATTGGAGTGGCCATTTCAAAGCCCTGACCTCAATCCAATAGAAAATGTGTGGGCAGAACTGAAAAAGCATGTGCGAGCAAGGATGCCTACAAACCTGACTCAGTTACACCAGCTCTGTCAGGAGGAATGGGCCAAAATTCTCCCAATTTATTGTGGGAAGCTTGTGGAAGGCTACCCAAAACGTTTGACCCAAGTTAAACAATTGAAAGGCAATGCTACCAAATACTAATTGAGTGTATGTAAACTTCTGACCCACTGGGAATGTGATGAAAGAAATAAAAGCTGAAATAAATCACTCTCTACTATTATTCTGACATTTCACATTCTTAAAATGAAGTGGTGATCCTAACTGACCTAAGACAGGGATTTTTTACTATAATTAAATGTCAGGAATTGTGAAAAACTGAGTTTAAATGTATTTGGCTAAGGTGTATGTAAACCGACTTCAACTGTAGGTATTCGACTTGTCCAGATGGGATAGGGGAGTGTGCAGTGTGATGGCGATTGCATCGTCTGTGGATCTATTGGGGCGGTAACCAACTTGAAGTGGGTCTAGGGTGACAGGTAAGGTAGAGGTGATATGATCCTTGACTCTCAAAGCACTTCATGATGACAGAGGTGAGTGCTACAGGGCGATAGTCATTTAGTTCAGTTACCTTTGCTTTCTTGGGTACAGGAACAATGGTGGCCATCTTGAAGCATGTGGGAACAGCAGACTGGGAAAGGGAGAGATTGAATATGTCCATAAGCACACCAGCAAGCTGGTCTGCGCATGCTCTGAGGACGCGGCTAGGGATGCCGTCTTAATCACGTCGGCCACGGAGATGGAGACGCCACAGTCCTTGGTAGTGGGCCTCGACAGTGGCACTGTGTTATCCTCAAAGTGGGCGAAGAAGGTGTTTAGCTTGTCTGGAAGCGAGACGTCGGTGTCCGCGACGTGGCTGGTTTTCCTTTTGTAGTCCGTGATTGTCTGTAGACCCTGCCACACACGGGTAAATGAAACATTCTCTTTTTTGTGTGCATAGCTGACTATTATATACATGAAATGAAAGAAATGCTCATATCTTCCTCTACCTAAACATTTATTTTCCTTCTACTTTTTATTTGCATATAAGCAATGTAAAGATGCTTTGCATTCTAAGGGCAACCCCCCCCCCAAAAAAAAGTATGTGATTGTAACATTGTATATAGTATTGTATGTCATATTGTAATGTATTATTGAAAGATAAGAAGTTGCATGAATAAGAATCAAATCAAATAACTCAAGTGAGTGTTTTGTTGAAAAATATGTACTGTACTGGTGGTCATACTGCAAATTAACGTGCAGCCTTGAATCCCTCCCATATTGTGGTGGTGAATAAAACCAACTGTTTTTTTTTTCTCAAATCAAAGAAAATGTTGTAATTAATGTTGTTGCATTGTACTGGAACAAATGACAACAAACTATAATTTAATGGGTTCAATTAAGAACAAACTGTTCTAATAGGATTCTGATTGGGGTGACAAAATCCTACAAGATTTATCAAACCCTATAAGATTCAATAGGATTACTTTTGATTTCCAATAGGAAAAAAGTAGTCCAATATGATTCTGATAGGATTCTGATAGAGGTGACACAAAATCCTATATGATTGTGAGAATCCTATAGGATATTATTGGAAAGTAAATAGCTAATCCTATAGGATTTTTGGACTATGCTTCTCTTTGTTCACATACACACACACACCTTTACCTCACCTCGTGGATGCTGGATAAAAATGAATACATTGTAACCTTCTTTTAGTCCAGTCCCAGCCACTAATTATACGGGTTGCCACAATAATATTGCGGACCTATTCATTGTCTGAACTAAGCTTTCTCATTGACTCATAACACATTCAAATTTCGGGTAGGAAACAATTGGCACGCAATCATTAAATCTTTCCCAGGCATTCCACAAATAAATCTCTTTGAGCACAGAAAGAACAGCGGCAGTGACTAGCGCCAGGAGTTGGCTCCACTTTGTTTCTCAGGGCGGTCACATTGACATGACAAGGCAACCCCGAGTGCAGCACCCCAAAGTCGTCGCTACAGCACCAGCGCAGTGGATGATCCATTGCGGAGCAGGACACACTGCCGTGAGTAAACGCAGGGCTTTGCTCTTCTTCAGTCTACTCCTTTTAACTTTTGTCATGTAAATAATGTGTTATTATTTAGCGTATCGTTGGTTGATAATAATTGTAGCCTAGATAATCTAGGCTTAGTTTCTAATGTTTTCCCCACCGTATTCACGTCGTGGGTGTGCGTGCGGGTTCTCTTCTGCAGCCCGCACACCACGAAAACTACAATCGGTCTCTAAATACTTTTACTGTTGGGAGTTCTAATGAAACAAAACTACCTGAGTTGATTTAATAGCACTTTACATGGCCTGGAGAGGCCCATTGTAAAAGTCTAAATTAGGATCCATAATGACGCGTATGGGAAAGTTGGATCAGGTGCATGGGGGTCTTGTGCCGACCTTGAGGCGTGACACTGAATTGATACAATGTTGCAGTGTAGTGCAGCATCACAGTTATACTGTTGCGCTGTATTCATTAGCGGACCGAATAAGCCATCTGTAGCACGGGCAAAACAAATACATTCTGCAGCACCCCCACCCGCAAACACCTTCCTGTCGCTATGCGTAGGTCAGTGCTTAGTGCGAACTTCCCCTACCCCCACCCTCTATCGACAAAAGAAGCAGCTCTCAAATCCATAATTTCACTGTTTCACAATGTGAGTGGTATGAACTCTGAACAAAAAAGATTATGACTTGACGGCTCGCCCAGACTGCTTTGTGTTTTGTAGGCTATTTATTGTATTAGACCTAATACAGATACATTTTATTTATACCCCAGAAACGTCTCTGAAACGTGGTTGCTTGCTGCTAAACTGCCAGTGGATGATCTGACCCCAACACACCTGGGAAAAATAAGGACCAACAGACAACTATGTTCCTGACATAATTAGGCCTACAATGTCGTCTTGCGCAAGATGTCTACGCTGAAACAGGTCATAGTGCGCGAGAATGGCCAGGACAAAGAGAAAAGCTTGGACTGGAGTTACATTGAGTGGTTAGAGAACGAGAACAAGGAAGTGACAGGGGTGACCAATGTCGAGACGCAAACGGTCTCAAAACCAACCGAGGACAAGGAGACGCAGACCAGGAACCCCTTTATCATGCATATAGATTTGGCCAGAACGCACTCCAAACTGAAACATGCGTCTTTGGTCGAGGCAGACGGCTTGCTCACACAGTTTGACCGACAGGCCCCGGCTCGCATCTCAACCTCCCCCACCTTGAGGAGGATGAGGAGCACACGGCGTCCGCAGGTGGACTTCCGGGACCCGGTGAGGATGGACAGCACACAGGAGGAGTCGGGTACGGAAGATACACCGTCCCGGTTGAGTCCCCTCTCCCCAGTACAAAGGCACAAGTCTCCGCTGGCGGCCAGCCCCCTTCCCGACAGAGAAAACCATCTCGATAATCTGCCCAATTCATCCGCGGGCTGGGGGAAAAGCAGATCGCATAGATCAAAGACTTTTGACAATGGTATCACTTGCACGAGACAAGGATCTCTGGGTGCACGGAGTGTGCAAAGTGTTAGTAAAGACTTTGAATTTCCTGATGATAGCGATGATCAGGTGAGTTAATGTTATCATGACCAAAATGGTAAACTTTCAGTTGAGCATGAATGGCGGCCATATGCAACACTGTGGCTTTATAATGAGTTTTTATCTGAGCTTTATAAAGCAGATGGCCAGTAGCTCCACCACATTCCTCCTGGGTCGCAGCACTCTCCCCCTCATTCTCCCTGGCCTCCTGTGATGGCTGCTCACAATGTCAGCTTTTGACAGCAAATTAATCAGCAGTTACATGCACTGTAGGAGCAGGAGGCCTGTGTAATGTTGATTTAGTGTTATGTACTCTGCATGGATTTCTACACCTTTAAAATCAGCCAGGGCCTTGGGTTTCTCTAGTCTATCACACTCAAGGCTCTAAAATCATAATTGACCTCATACGGCCGGTTAACCAGACCCAGATTAATCTTAGTCCTGCCCTAAAAAGCATGTTCAATGGATATTCTCTGTTGAAAGTACTTCTTAGGCCAAGGCTTCATCTGTGCCAGAGAAACCAATCCCTAATGTATAGATAGATATCCTGTGCTGTGCTATTGTTCACTGTCTATGTGTTTGCTCTTTCACAGTAGTATCTGCTGTATAACAAGCCATTTTCAACATAATTATCCTAACCGAGCTGCCTTCGTCTCTTTTTACAGGACAAGGAGGCTTGCCATAATAGGTAGGTGATTTGAGTGTTATCTGTGTCCCCACTTGGTTTAGGCAAAAATACCTGCACTGTGGCCTGCAATTACCATATACTGCCTGGACATTATTTGCATGGCAGGAGGGGAATTTGCCTATAACTGACTAACTCTGAACTATGACACACAATTAGGAAACCAGAGTTGTATTCATTAGGCTCCAAACGGAAGAAAACTGTTTTCCATTGCAAAATGTTTTGCTACGGTGTGCCCTAATGAATATGACCCAGCATGAATGGGACCAAAACAGAGATGATTCCACTTTCTCTCCATTCAGTGAACAAGCAACTTATGAGCCAAATGTTCTAATTTGCATGATTGCATCCTAAACCGTGTTGTTCGTTTCGTTTGCTATCTCTAATTTGGCGAACCGTTCTAGTGATCCCAGGAGTTTGTTTGTATGGAAACATATTAAGGGAAAAATTTCCCCAAGCTGGGCCTTGTTGCTCGAATTGCATCCACTCATTGGACATTTGGCACTCAATGGCAAAATACGATTGGACCCAGAGTAGAGGGCGCCCCATTGTGCATTCATTGTGCTTTGGGCTTGTTAGTGAAACTGTTAGCGGAGCAACATAAGCTCAGTGGGTGAAGTTATGAGAGTCCCATGGTTACAGATGTAGAATCTTAATTTGAGCCAGTTTGCTACAGCAGTAAAATAATCCTACAGCAACAGGACATGTGATTTATTATGTGGATTATAATTAATATACTTTTTTGTAGCCAATACATTTTTTATAAGGGAAAAAATTCAAAGTGGAAATTCCAAACTTCAAAAACCCTTTTAAACCTTAAAATACACAAAGTTTTCTGCAACAGGGTGATCAAATGAAGATCCTACATCTGTCTGTGTGGACTAGACAAGGCCTCATTAGGGCTGTTTTTCCCCCACTGCCAGCAGTAGCACCACCACCACCCCTCCTAATGGGCCGCCCAGGCAGGGCTCTTCTACTGCATAATTAGGCAGCTATTGTCCTTGTAATTATTATAATTACACCCTGGCGCCATCCCCCTACTGTCCCCCCACATGGTGGCCGGGCTCAGCAAGACAATTGGTCGGAACTGCTTTGTTTTCGGGCATCGTTATTTTGCTGTAGGGGCCTGGGCAGGGGGTGGTTTGGGGGATGAAGCACCCCTCTTTGCGGGGGCTCGACTCAGTGGCAGAGGGGTCGACGCACAGAGAGCATTCTGACTGGCCACAATGAGACATGATGTCTTTGTGACCTGCTTGGAAATAAACTGCAATTAGTGTTGAACTGTTTTTGACAGATCCTCATGCAGTACTCTTCCACCACCACCATCATCATCATCCAATTGCATTTACTGTAAGACTTAAAGCCTCCTCAATGTTTTGGTTAACTATAATATATAATATATACCATTTAGCAGATACTTTTATCCAAAGCGACTTACAGTTATGCTTGCATGCATTTTACGTATGGGTGGTCCTGGGAATCGAACCCACTACCCTGCCGTTACAAGTCCCATGCTCTACCAACTGAGCTATGTATTGTTAACTCAGCACACTTTGTGTGCCTATACATATAAGGCCCATAAGATGCGCCAGGGTCCGCATTACCGTGACTGATATTAGTTTACTAGAGAGAACATAGTCCTAGAGAGGACAAAGAACAGTGGTTGCACTCAGAGGTATTATCTGCGCTGAGGCGTTAACAGAAGTGGCCAGGGGAGAACTAACATACCACATTACTCAGGTCTCATTGTACACTTACAGAAGGACACTGTTGAAGTGTACATATTGGCTTGCTGCACCTCATCTAGACTCAAGTCAGTCAGTCTTCTGTTGGTGGTTTACATAAGATAAGTACTGCTAGTTATATAAGCATACCATTACAGATGCACAGCAGTTTCCTGAGGACGTCCATACAGTCCAAGGACAATGACAATGGGTCTCCTTTTTGGATAGGGTGAGGCATTTTGGTAACAGACCATAAAATAAAATCAAGAACCAACATACTTCCCTTCCCTGTAGTTGTATAACTGTTCCTGTTTGTGGGTTCTGTTTACGCCATCATAAACAGCCAGAGATCTTCAGCTGTCTGCCTTCCTTATGGTGTCGTCATTTCTAGATAACCTTTCACCAAGCACAGCGAAAATCTTTACTCAGTCTATCTTATGGTGCAGTATACATGATAACAAGGTTATAACACCATTCACATTCTGAAAAACAACCAAATGATTGAGTATGTTTTACTCTGTCTTCAATCAATCAAACACTGGATTGTGTCTCACATTACTATACTCTCAATTGTCGTTCATTACTCAGCTATTGGGAAGGAATAAAAAATAGGAAAAAGTCTGGAATCATGGGTACATTAACTCTAACCCATGAGCTTTTAGTTTAATAGAGAAACAGGAAAGATAGTTCATCAAGGCCTCACTATGAAAGCTCTAAAGCCAGTGAGTAGTCTAGTCACAGCACTGGGAGTGAACCTTAAACTGACTGGCTAAAGACCAGCCTATCAGGTTGTTATTTGGCTCATCATTACTACTCTCACTATTCTCCGGAAAGACAACTGACATCTAACTTGTAAACTCAGTCAGAGGTAGCTACTGTGGTTGGTTTTATAGTGTGAGCATACACTGAGTGTACAAAACATTAAGGACACCTGCTCTTTCCATGACATAGACTGACCAGGTGAATCCAGTCGAAAGCTATGATCCTTTATTGATGTCATTTGTTAAATCCACTTCAATCAGACTAGTTGAAGGGGAGGATACAGGTTAAAGAAGGATTTGTAAGCCTTCAGACAATTGAGACATGGATTGACAAAATATTTAAGTGCCGTTGAACGGGGTATGCTAGTAGGTGCCAGGCGCACCGGTTTGTGTCAAGAACTGCAACGCTGCTGGGTTTTTCACACTCAACAGTTTCCCGTGTGTATCAAGAATGGTTCACCACCCAAAGGACATCCAGCCAACTTGACACAACTGTGGGAATCATTGGAGTCAACATGGGCCAGCATCCCTGTGGAATGCTTTTGACAGTCCATGCACCGACGAATTGAGGCTGTTCTGAGGGCAAAAAGGGGGGTTGGTGCAACTACATTTTAGGAATGTTTTAATGTTTTGTACACTCAGTATATTTATGCAGTGGTAAGGAAGTCAATTCAAGTAGGTATACACTTTATATTACCATAGCAAACTACATAACGAATGCATAAGATGTCAACAATACATACATTCCTTAATTGGCGGTCTCTAATCCATTAATTCTGCTTGATTTGAATTTGGATATTTGCCTTCTGCGTGTACCTGCAGTTTACTCTCAACAACAACAACAACACAAACTGAAGATCTCGTACAATGCTGTGTACTACTCCCTTCACAGAACAGAGCAAACTGGCTCTAACCAGAATAGACAGAGGAGTGGGAGGCCCCGGTGCACAACTGAGCAAGAGGACAAATATATTAGACTGTCTAGTTTGAGAAACAGACCCCTCACAGGTCCTCAACTGGCAGCTTCATTTAATGGTACCCGCAAAACACCAAAGAAAAAGCCATATCTCAGACTGGCCAATAAAAATAAAATATTAAGATGGGCAGTCTGAGATATGGCTTTTTCTTTGCAACTCTGCCTAGAAGGTCAGCATCCCGGAGTCGCCTCTTCACTGTTGACGTTGAGACTGGTGTTTTGCGGGTACTATTTAATGAAGCTGCCAATTGAGGACCTGTGAGGCGTCTGTTTCTCAAACTAGACACTCTAATGTATTTGTCCTCTCAGTTGTGCACCGGGGCCTCCCACTCCTCTTTCTATTCTGGTTTGAGCCAGTTTGCGCTCTTCTGTGAAGGGAGTAGTACACAGCGTTGTACGAGATCTTCAGTTTCTTGGCAATTTCTCGCATGGAATAGCCTTAATTTCTCGGAACAAGAATAGACTGACGAGTTTCAGAATAAAGTTGTTTGTTTCTGGCCATTTTGAGCCTGTAATCGAACCCACAATTGCTGATGCTCCAGATACTGAACTAGTCTCAAGAAGGCCAGTTTTATTGTTTCTTTAATCAGCACAACAGTTTTCAGCTGTGCTAACATAATTGCAAAAGGGTTTTCTAATGATCAATTAGCCTTTTACAACATTAACAATGTCTACACTGAATTTCTGATCAATTTGATGTTATTTTAATGGACAAAAAAATTGATTTTCTTTCGAAAACAAGGATATTTCTAAGTGACTCCAAACTTTTGAACGGTTGTGTATATAAAAAATATATTTAAATTAATATATACTGTATATTTACCCAAAAATATATATAGGGGATTGGAAATGTTGCAGACAATTACATCGATAGAAGCCACAATCTATCTACAATATTATAGCTGATCTACCCCCTAAAAAATGGAAAATAAATAAAAATAAAGTCCTTGGATACTATGGGGCCTTATTGGTCAGTTTTGATATAAACTGTCTCTTATTGATCAGAATGTTCTAGAAACTGGCTGTTATTGGTCAGAATGTTCTAGAAACTGTCTCTCTCTTCATACCCTGTTCCCAAGACTGCAGGAGAGGAGGCGGAGTTCTGTGGTGGTCAGTCTGCCCGGATTGGACGTTTCGCCGGGGGACCTGTTTGTGTCCAATGGGGCGGCAGACATACTGAACCTCTCCAACTTCTCAGGTTAACACTGAAGCTGCTTTTCTGCACTTTATTGCTACATTTTTGTCAACAGCTTGTTGATTACTTTTAAGACCAGATTGTAGGCCTACAATGATCAGAGTTATTTGTTATAACTATTATTTTACAGTTACCTAGCTATGACATTAGTAACTGCATCAGGAGTTCACTTCTTACACAAATATAAGCAACATTAAACTATTTTCAGATTATTACCACATTCAGGCAAAATGATAAGGCTGTTTGTACTATTTTACATAAAAATAAAAATAAATAATATGCCATTTAGCAGACGCTTTTATCCAAAGCGACTTACAGTCATGTGTGCATACATTTTTCCGTATGGGTGGTCCCGGGGATCGAACCCACTACCCTGGCGTTACAAGCGCCATGCTCTACCAATTGAGCTACAGAGGACCACATACATAGATCCTTTGGAGTGTGAACACTTTTTTTCATAACTTTTTTCTTTCTTTCAATAAATCACTATTTTTTAAACAGCAGACCTATGAAGCCAGGCCTTTGTAGATAATCACAATACCCGTTTCTCCATTTCCACAGACACAAAGAAACCCAGGTGGCCTTTCTCCAGACGTGGCACGGTAGGTGTGCTGTTTGTTTGTTGTTTTTCCCCTGCTACTCACCCTAGCTAGCCTGCCCTGCCACCGGTCAGTTTAGTTGTTTGTGGTTTGTTTGCTAGGGCTGTGAAGCTGCCAGTGTGCTCAGGTGAGCTGCAATGGAATTAAGGACATTGTTCTCTGACCCACTTTTAATCACAGCATTAATTAATACGCTTTCCTCCCCTCTGTTCTCATGGCCTCCTGAGATTTCATAATGAGTCAACAACACTGAGCCAAACCAATTAAATCCAACTCAATTATTTAGTTAAATGTGTTTGACCAGACTGATAGATAGATGGGCAAATATTTGCACAAAACACTGTTGGTGTGTACTGTAGTTCACTGTTCCACTGTTCACTTCCATAAGTGCATGACCGTGCACAGACACGGGCAAGCACATGTGTGCGCGAACACACACACACGCACATACACACATTCACTCTTACTGTAAACATACACACATTGACATTACTTACTCTTACTTAGACAAACAGACACTCCTACCTATAGTAGGAAAACCTGATTGACTGTTCAAGGAACGTTTAACGTTGAGCCTGTATTTGTTCCTCTCAGACTAAAGGGAAGACAACATGCTCTGCCTCTGATATTGAGAAATATCTCTTGACGGAACAGATTCAAGACTGGAGGGACACAGACTTCCAGAAGTACAAGGTGAGGAAAGCCATATGAACATATGATCCATGCTGAATAAGCCCTTTTTTCTCTTAGCTATTCTTAGCTGCGTTGTAACTTGGCAGCCAGTCATAATTGAGTCAGTGCTCCTAGGAAGTACTTCAGGAACAATGAAGCCCCTGAAACATATAAATTACACATTGGACGGGAACAAAACTTTATTGTTAGCCTACGCACATGACAACCGTACACTTATAAACTCTAGCTAGACAGCAGAAGATAAGACTAAGTTACAGCATTGGGCATAGTAACAAGACACGCTACAGAATGCTGTCGCCTCGTACTTATGACCTCACCAGCCTAGCCGTGCGAAAACCACAATTAATCACCCTCCCCTTGTGTATTATTCAAATAACGTCTATCCAACCATCCCTCTGTCTATCATCCCCTCCATCCACAGGATTGTTCTCTAGAGGAGTTCCTGAGGGACTGTGATTCGTCTCAGCTGAGGTCTGACAGTGACCCTCAGGACTATAAGAGACAGGAAGCCATCTGGGAACTCTTCACCAGCGAGTGTGTTTACTTCCTGGATCAGCTCATGGTGCTCAAAGAGGTGACTTACATGATGTACGCCTCCTCACACACACACACGACCTACTTGTTGTGTGTATGTACTGATATTTATGTGTAACTGATAGATGCACACACACACTACATGTTCATGTTTTTAAATGTATGTAAATTGTAAAGTATTTTGTGTGTAATGTATTTTTCGTTATACACTACTGTTCAAAAGTTTGGGGTACACTTAGAAATGTCCTTGTTCTCGAAAGAAAAGCCATTTTTTTGTCCATTAAAATAACATAAAATTGATCAGAAATACAGTGTAGACATTGTTAATGTTGTAAATGGCTATTGTAGCTGGAAACGGCTGATTTTTATTGGAATTGGCTAATTGATCATTAGAAAACCCTTTTGCAATTATGTTAGCACAGCTGAAAACTGTTGTGCTGATTAAAGAAGCAATTAAACTGGCCTTCTTGAGACTAGTTGAGTATCTGGAGCATCAGCAATTGTGGGTTCGATTACAGAATCAAAATGGCCAGAAACAAATAACTTTCTTCTGAAACTCGTCAGTCTATTCTTGTTCTGAAAAATGAAGGCTATTCCATGCGAGAAATTGCCAAGAAACTGAAGATCTCGTACAACGCTGTGTACTACTCCCTTCACAGAACAGCGTAAACTGTCTCGAACCAGAATAGAAAGAGGAGTGGGAGGCCCCGGTGCACAACTGAGCAAGAGGACAAAATACATTAGAGTGTCTAGTTTGAGAAACAGACCCTCACAGGTCCTCAATTGGCAGCTTCATTAAATAGTACCCGCAAAACACCAGTCTCAGCGTCAACAGTGAAGAGGCGACTCCGGCATGCTGACTTTCTAGGCAGAGTTGCAAAGAAAAAGCAATTTATCAGACTGGCCAATAAAAATTTAATATTAAGATGGGCAAAATAACACAGACACTGGACAGAGGAAGATTGTGAAAAAGTTATGGACAGACAAATCAAAGTTTGAGGTGTTCGGATCACAAAGAATAACATTTGTGAGACACAGACCAAATGAAAAGATGCTGGAGGAGTGCTTGATGCCATCTGTCAAGCATGGTGGAGGCAATGTGATGGTCTGGGGGTGCTTTGGTGGTGGTAAGAGAGTGGGAGATTTGTACAGGGTAAAAGGGATCTTGAAGAAGGAAGGCTATCACTCCATTTTGCAACATCATGCCATACCCTGTTGACAGCGCTTGATTGGAGCCAATTTCCTCCTACAACAGGACAATGACCCAAAGCACTACTCCAAACTATGCAATAACTATTTAGGGAAGAAGCAGTCAGCTGGTATTCTGTCTATAATGGAGTGGCCAGCACAGTCACCGGATCTCAAACCTATTGAGCTGTTGTGGGAGCAGCTTGACCATATGGTACGTAAGAAGTGCCCACCAAGCCAATCCAACTTGTGGGAGGTGCTTCAGGAAGCATGGGGTGAAATCTCTTCAGATGACCTCAACAAATTGACAACTAGAATGCCAAAGGTCTGCAAGGCTGTAATTGCTGCAAATGGAGGATTCTTTGACGAAAGCAAAGTTTGAAGGACACAATTATTATTTCAATAAAAAAATCATTATTTCTAACCTTGTCAATGACACATTTCCTATGCATTTTGCTATATTTCCTATTCAAACTCATTTCATGTATATTTTCATGGAAAACAAGGACATTTCTAAGTGACCCCAAACTTTTCAACGGTAGTGGATGTCATCCCCAGCCAGACTAGCTGTTGCCATTGGCATCGGCTAATGGGGATCCTAATAATTGAAATCACACACCAGGGTTTCCGTTAGCCGGTAATAGCCGGCTTTTGGCCCCCCCCCCCAAAAAATGAAAAGCAGGATTTTTTTATTGTTGTTGCCGCCCAATTGTCTGGGAGAAGAAACAAAATTCCATTGCGAAATAATGCTTTTTAGCCTATTCATTGATGGAAATACCAGTCGCTGGAAATACATTTGACCGGTCATGCTTATCGGTCTATAGTTAATTTGCATAATTTAGTGGAATTAAAATTGCCGCGTGTATTTTCCTTAGTCGTCATATATCTTATTTATCACACGTACAGCATACAGATACAGAGCCTAGTTTGAGTGGAAAATCTGTCAGACAGCGCGAGAGCTGCTGCTACAGCTCCTCAAACAGTTTGTTCGTTGCCGAGTTAAACATGTGCTTTTATAAACCAAATCATTGCGCAACAATTCTAAATGCAATTGCATGTTTAAAAAAAACGTTTTGATAGCCATGAATAAAAAGAGCTAATATTTTGTGTCACACCACTTTCAAATCAAATCAAATCAAATGTTATTGGTCACATGCGCCGAATACAACAGGTGCAGACATTACAGTGAAATGCTTACTTACAGCCCTTAACCAACAGTGCATTTATTTTAAACAAAAAAAAGTAAAAATAAAACAACAACAAAAAAAAGTGTTGAGAAAAAAAGAGCAGAAGTAAAATAAAGTGACAGTAGGGAGGCTATATATACAGGGGGGTACCGTTGCAGAGTCAATGTGCGGGGGCACCGGCTAGTTGAGGTAGTTGAGGTAATATGTACATGCGGGTAGAGTTAAAGTGACTATGCATAAATACTTAACAGAGTAGCAGCAGCGTAAAAAGGATGGGGTGGGGGGGGCAGTGCAAATAGTCCGGGTAGCCATGATTAGCTGTTCAGGAGTCTTATGGCTTGGGGGTAGAAGCTGTTGAGAAGTCTTTTGGACCTAGACTTGGCACTCCGGTACCGCTTGCCGTGCGGTAGCAGAGAGAACAGTCTATGACTAGGGTGGCTGGAGTCTTTGACAATTTTGAGGGCCTTCCTCTGACACCGCCTGGTATAGAGGTCCTGGATGGCAGGAAGCTTTGCCCCAGTGATGTACTGGGCCGTACGCACTACCCTCTGTAGTGCCTTGCGGTCGGAGGCCAAGCAGTTGCCATACCAGGCGGTGATGCAACCAGTCAGGATGCTCTCGATGGTGCAGCTGTATAATTTTTTGAGGATCTGAGGACCCATGCCAAATCTTTTCAGTCTCCTGAGGGGGAATAGGCTTTGTCGTGCCCTCTTCACGACTGTCTTGGTGTGTTTGGACCATGATAGTTCGTTGGTGATGTGGACACCAAGGAACTTGAAGCTCTCAACCTGTTCCACTACAGCCCCGTCGATGAGAATGGGGGGCGTGCTCAGTCCTCTTTTTTTTCCTGTAGTCCACAATCATCTCCTTTGTCTTGGTCACGTTGAGGGAGAGGTTGTTGTCCTGGCACCACACGGCCAGATCTCTGACCTCCTCCCTATAGGCTGTCTCATCGTTGTCGGTGATCAGGCCTACCACTGTTGTGTCGTCGGCAAACTTAATGATGGTGTTGGATTCGTGCCTGGCCATGCAGTCATGGGTGAACAGAGAGTACAGGAGGGGACTGAGCACGCACCCCTGAGGGGCCCCCGTGTTGAGGATCAGTGTGGCAGATGTGTTGTTACCTACCCTTACCACCTGGGGGCGGCCCGTCAGGAAGTCCAGGATCCAGTTGCAGAGGGAGGTGTTTAGTCCCAGGATCCTTAGCTTAGTGATGAGCTTAGAGGGCACTATGGTGTTGAATGCTGAGCTGTAGTCAATGAATAGCATTCTCACGTAGGTGTTCCTCTTGTCCAGGTGAGAAAGGGCAGTGTGGAGTGCAATAGAGATTGCATCATCTGTTGATCTGTTGGGGCGGTATGCAAATTGGAGTGGGTCTAGGGTTTCTGGGATAATGCTGTTGATGTGAGCCATGACCAGCCTTTCAAAGCACTTCATGGCTACAGACGTCAGTGCTACGGGTCGGTAGTCATTTAGGCATGTTATCTTAGAGTCCTTGGGCACGGGGACTATGGTGGTCTGCTTGAAACATGTTGGTATTACAGACTCAGTCAGGGACATGTTGAAAATGTCAGTGAAGACACTTGCCAGTTGGTCAGCACATGCTCGGAGTACACGTCCTGGTAATCCGTCTGGCCCTGCGGCCTTGTGAATGTTGACCTGCTTAAAAGTCTTACTCACATCGGCTACGGAGAGCGTGATCACATAGTCATCCGGAACAGCTGGTGCTCTCATGCATGTTTCAGTGTTGCTTGCCTCGAAGCGAGCATAGAAGTGGTTTAGCTCGTCTGGTAGGCTTGTGTCACTGGGCAGCTCGCGGCTGTGCTTCCCTTTGTAGTCTGTAATAGTTTTCAAGCCCTGCCACATCCGACGAGCGTCACTTTGCAATGAGCTGGAGGCAGTACGCATTTTGAAAACATTTACTTAATCATTTGAAACCTGAAAGTTTTACTTTATATTATGAGGCATGTTTTACCTTGCTTCAAACTAGCCTAGCCAAAATATAAATATATACATTCTTATATGTTAAATTCCAGCATGTTAAATGTGCAACCAGAGGAGAAAAAAAACTCTAGACCACCTTAACTCCACACACAGAGACACATACAAAGCTCTCCCTCGCCCTCCATTTGGCAAATCTGACCATAACTCTATCCTCCTGATTCCTGCTTATAAGCAAAAACTAAAGCAGGAAGCACCAGTGACTTGGTTAATAAAAAAGTGGTCAGCTGATGCAGATGCTAAGCTACAGGACTGTTTTGCTAGCACAGACTGGAATATGTTCCGGGATTCTTCAGATAGCATTGAGGAGTACACCACATCAGTCACTGGCTTCATCAATAAGTGCATCGATGACGTCGTCCCCACAGTGACCGTACGTACATACCCCAACCAGAAGCCATGGATTACAGGCAACATCCGCACTGAGCTAAAGGGTAGAGCTGCCGCTTTCAAGGAGCGGGACTCTAACCCGGACGCTTATAAGAAATCCCGCTATGCCCTCCGACGAACCATCAAGCAGGCAAAGAGTCAATACCGGACTAAGATTGAATCGTACAACACCGGCTCTGACACTCGTCGGATGTGGCAGGGCTTGAAAATTATTACAGACTACAAAAGGAAGGACAGCCGCGAGCTGCCCAGTGACACAAGCCTACCAGAGGAGCTAAATCACTTCTATGCTCGCTTCTAGGCAAGCAACACTGAAGCATGCATGAGAGCACCAGCTGTTCCGGATGACTATGTGATCACGCTCTCCGTAGCCGATGTGAGTAAGACTTTTAAGCAGGTCAACATTCACAAGGCCGCAGGGCCAGACGGATTACCAGGACGTGTTCTCCGAGCATGTGCTGACCAACTGGCAAGTGTAGTTTTGGCAAGTCGGTTAGGACATCTACTTTGTGCATGACACAAGTAATTTTTCCAACAATTGTTTACAGACAGATTATTTCACTTATAATTCACTATCACAATTCCAGTGGGTCAGAAGTTTACATACACTAAGTTGACTGTGCCTTTAAACAGCTTGGAAAATTCCAGAAAATTATATCATGGCTTTAGAAGCTTCTGACATAAGCTAATTGACATAATTTGAGTCAATTGCTCCTCTGTAGCTCAATTGGTAGAGCATGGCACTTGTAACGCCAGGGTAGTGGGTTCGATCCCCGGGATCACCCATACGTAAAAATGTATGCACACATGACGTTAAGTCGCTTTGGATAAAAGCGTCTGCTAAATGGCATATTATATTATAATTGGAGGTGTACCTGTGGATGTATTTCAAGGCCTACCTTCAAACTCAGTGCCTCTTTGCTTGACATCATGGGAAAATCAAAAGAAATCAGCCAAGACCTCAGAAAAAAAAGTCTGGTTCATCCTTGGGAGCAATTTCCAAACACTTGAAGGTACCACGTTAATCTGTACAAACAATAGTACGCAAGTATAAACCATGGGACCACGCAGCCGTCATACTGCTCAGGAAGGAGACGCGATCTGTCTCCTAGAGATGAACGTACTTTGGTGCGAAAAGTGCAAATCAATCCCAGAACAACAGTAAATGATCTTGTGAAGATGCTGGAGGAAACGGGTACAAAACTATCTATATCCACAGTAAAACAAGACCAATATCGACATAACCTGAAAGGCCGCTCAGCAAGGAAGAAGCCACTGCTCCAAAACCGCCATAAAAAAGCCAGACTACGGTTTGCAACTGCACATGGGGACAAAGATCGTACTTTTTGGAGAAATGTTCTCTGGTCTGATGAAACAAAAATAGAACTGTTTGGCCATAATGACCATCGTTATGTTTGGAGGAAAAAGGGGGTGCTCGCAAGCCGAAGAACACCATCCCAACCGTGAAGCACAGGGGTGGCAGCATCATGTTGTGGGGGTGCCTTGCTGCAGGAGGGACTGGTGCACTTCACAAAATAGATGGCATCATGAGGAAGGAAAATTATGTGGATATATTGAAGCAACATCTCAAGACATCAGTTAGGAAGTTAAAGCTTGGTCGCAAATCGGTCTTCCAAATGGACAATGACCCCAACCATACTTCCAAAGTTGTGGCAAAATGGATTAAGGACAACAAAGTCAAGGTATTGGAGTGGCCATCACAAAGCCCTGACCTCAATCCTATAGAACATTTTTGGGCAGAACTGAAAAAGCGTGTGCAAGCAAGGAGGCCTACAGACCTGACTCAGTTACACCAGCTCTGTCAGGAGGAATGGGCCAAAATTCACCCAACTTATTGTGGGAAGCTTGTGGAAGGCTACCCGAAACGTTTGACCCAAGTTAAACAATTTAAAGGCAATGCTACCAAATACTAATTGAGTGTAAACTTCTGACCCACTGGGAATGTGATTAAATAAATAAAAGCTTAAATAAATCATTCTCTCTACTATTATTCTGACATTTCACATTCTTAAACTAAAGTGGTGATCCTAACTGACCAAAGACAGGGAATTTTTACTAGGATTAAATGTCATGAATTGTGAACAACTGAGTTTAAATGTATTTGGCTAAGGTGTATGTAAACTTCTGACTTCAACTGTACATACATACACACACATATACACATACATACATATAAATACAAATACATACATATACATATCCTGTTTTTAAATATATTTTCCTTTATTACTTTCCAAGCCCTCCACCCCTTCCCTAATTGGAGTAAACTAGTGAACAACAATGCTTAGGCCTCTATTTCCAGCTTATACATACTATATACATTTTATGGACACAGTCAATTTTACAATAATTCTATTTTGTTTGTTTTTACTCCTGAACTTCCTCTACCCTCAACCTCTCCGATCATTTTCATGATGTCCATCCGGTTTGCTTCTATATGCCATTTCTTTCTAACTGTGCTCTTTCACAAAAGCTCTCAACCTATAACCTATATACTTATTATGGACACAGTATGCTTTACATTAGTTATCTTGTTGTTATTAATTGTTGTTAGATGTTATTAGTCCCATCATTCAACTCCATTCAACACCTCCCATCTATCTCTTAACACCATCCATATTGGATTTCTATTTGCCATATATTTTTCAACTGTACTGTGATGTTTTACAAAAGTTCTGAACCCTTCTATTCTCATTGTTTCTACAGATTGTAAATTGAAAATAAACATTTTTGCTGAAAGTATTATTAGCCTCCCAAGTGGCGCAGTGGTCTAAGGCACTGCATCGCTGTGCCACTAGAGATCCTGGTTCGAGTTCAGGCTCTGTCACGACCGGGAGACCCATGGGGTGGCGCACAATTGGCCCAGGGTAGGGGAGGGTTTGGCCGGAAGGGATGTTCTTATCCCATCGTGCACTAGCGACTCCTGTGGTGGGCCGGGCGCAGTGTTTAATGTGTTTGTTTCTAATGTGTTTTTGTTGGTGTTTCTAATGTATTTGTTTGTTTTTGTAATGTGTTTGTGTTTCTAATGTGTTTTAGTTGTTGTGTCTAATGTATTTGTTTGTGTTTCTAATGCGTTTCTAATGTGTTTGTGTTTCTGGTTGTGTTTCTATTGTGTCCCTCAGGTGTTTCTGGCCATGCTGACCAACCTGCAGATGAGGGACTGCCTGCCTGACGTGGACTCCTGGAGGCTGTTTGGCAACCTCAACGAGCTGGGTCTGGTAAGACCATAGATATACATATATTACATTAGGTTGGATTAGATTAAAATATATTTATTATCCCAAGCTTGGGAAATTAGTTTGGCATGTTAAGAGACACAACATAATTAAAACACAAAATATCATTATTGTGTCCTATTATATTATAGCAAGTGTTCTATTTAGTGCTGTCGCCATGCCAACACACTCTCCGAGTGGCGCAGTGGTCTAAGGCACTGCATCGCAGTGCTAGCTGTGCCACTAGAGATCCTGGTTCGAATCCAGACTCTGTCGTAGCCGGCCGCGACCGGGAGACCCATGGGGCGGCGCACAATTGGTCCAGCGTAGGGGAGGGAATGGCCGGCAGGGATGTAGCTCAGTTGGTAGAGCATGGCGTTTGCAACGCCAGGGTTGTGGGTTCGATTCCCACGGGGGGCCAGTATAAAAAATAATGTATGCGCTCACTAACTGTAAGTCGCTCTGGATAAGAGCGTCTGCTAAAATGACTAAAAATTTAAAAAAACACCACTCAGATTAGAACTGGTCCTGAACGGGTGCAGTGGATGCGGTCTTCCATGCAGAATGATAAGATGATAGGGCCATGGTGTGCTATCATGGGGCAGTGAGGCAGTCACTAGTGTGTGGAAAGTAGTTATCCAGCTCCTAGAGGGAGATGGTTTACCACAAGCTATCAAAATGAAATTCCAAAGATAAATCACAAAATATTCCCTATCACAACATCAAATCTTTGACATCATCTTACTCTAGGCTATATGTTGAAGGTTTGAGTTTTCATAATATCACATCATCTGGTTATTTTACCAAAGAAAATAGAGAGTGCTGCAGGCGACTGAGGCGAGACATTGGAGGTTTAATTATCAGTCCTTGCCATCATACAGTGCCTTCGGAAAGTAGTAAGCCCTCTTAACTTTTTCCACATTATTCTAAAATTTATTCAATCTACACACAATACCCCATAATGACAAAGTAAAAACAGGTTTTTATAATTTTTTGCTAATTTATTACAAATAAAAAACAGAAATATAACATTTACATAAGTATTCAGACCCTTTACTCAGTACTTTGTTGAAGCACCTTTGGCAGCAATTACAGAATCGAGTCTTCTTGGGTATGACGCTACAAGCTTGGCACACCTGTATTTGGGGAGTTTTTCCCATTCTTCTTTGCAGATCCTCTCAAGCTCTCCAGAGATGTTCGATCGGGTTCAAGTCCGGGCTCTGGCTGGGCCACTCAAGGACATTCAGAGACTTGTCCCGAAGCCAGTCCTGCGTTGTATTGTGTGTGCTTAGGGTCATTGTCCTGTTGGAAGGTGAACGTTCGCCCCCGTCTGAGGTTGTGAGTGCTCTGGAGCAGATCTCTCTGTTCTTTGCTCCGTTCATCTTTGCCTCGATCCTGACTAGTCTCCCAGTCCCTGCCGCTAAAAAACATCCCCACAGAATGATGCTGCCACCACCATGCTTCCCCGTAGGGATGGTGCCACGTTTCCTCCAGACGTGACGCTTGGCATTCAGGCCAAAGAGTTCAATCTTGGTTTCATCAGACCAGAGAATCTCGTTTGTCATGGTCTGAGAGTCTTTAGGTGCCTTTTGGCAAACTCCAAGTGGGCTGTCATGTGCCTTTCACTGAGGAGTGGCTTCCGTCTGGCCGCTCTACCATAAAGGCCTTATTGTTGGAGTGTTGCAGAGATGGTTGTCCATCTCCACAGAGGAACTCTAGAGCTCTGTCAGCGTGACCATCGGGTTCTGGGTCACCTCCCTGACCAAGGCCCTTCTCCACCGATTGCTCAGTTTGGCCGGGCGGCCAGCTCTAGGAAGAGTCTTGGTGGTTCCAAACTTCTTCCATTTAAGAATGATGGAGGCCACTGTGTCCTTCAATGCTGCAGACATTTTTTGGTACCCTTCCCCAGATCTGTGCCTCGACACAATCCTGTCTCGGAGCGCTACGGACAATTCCTTCGACCTCATGGCTTGGATTTTGCTCTGACATACACTGTCAACTGTGGGACCTTATATAGACATGTGTGCGCCTTTCCAAATCATGTCCAATCAATCGAATTTACCACAGGTGGACTCCAATCAAGTTGTAGAAACATCTCAAGGATGATCAATGGAAACAGGATGCATCTGAGCTCAATTTCGAGTCTCATAGCAAAGGGTCTGAATACTTATATCTATATCTTATATCTATTATTTGTAATAGATTTACAAACAATTCTAAAAACCTGTTTTCGCTTTGTCATTATGGGGTATTGTGTGTACAGTCGTGGTCAAACGTTTTGAGAATGACAAGTATTGGTCTTCACAAAGTTTGCTGCTTCAGTGTTTTTAGATATTTTTGTCAGATGTTGCTATGGTATACTGAAGTGTATTTACAAGCATTCCATAAGCGTCAAAGGCTTTTATTGACAATTACATTGTTTACGCAAAGAGTAAATATTTGCAGTGTTGACCCTTCTTTTTCAAGACCTCTGCAATCCGCCCTGGCATGCTGTCAATTAACTTCTGGGCCACATCCTGACTGATGGCAGCCCATTATTGCATAATCAATGCTTGGAGTTTGTCCGAATTTGTGGGTTTTTGTTTGTCCACCCGCCTCTTGAGGATTGATCACAAGTTCTCAATGGGATTAAGGTCTGGGGGGTTTCCTGGCCATGGCCCCAAAATGGCCATGGACCCAAAATGTGGATGTTTTGTTCCCCGAGCCACTTAGTTATCACTTTTGCCTTATGGCAAGGTGCTCCATCATGCTGGAAAAGGCATTGTTCGTCACCAAACTGTTGGACTTGGATGGTTGGGAGAAGTTGTTCTCGGAGGATGTGTTGGTACCATTCTTTATTCATGGCTGTGTTCTTAGGCAAAATTGTGAGTGAGCCCACTCACTTGGCTGAGAAGCAACCCCACACATGAATGGCCTCAGGATGCTTTACTGTTGGCATGACACAGGACTGATGGTAGCGCTCACCTTGTCTTCTCCGGACAAGGTGTTTTCCGGATGCCCCAAACAATCGGAAAGGGGATTCATCAGAGAAAATGACTTTACCCCAGGCTCAGCAGTCCAATCCCTGTACCTTTTGCAGAATATCAGTCTGTCCCTGATGTTTTTCCTGGAGAGAAGTGGCTTTCTCGCTGCCCTTCTTGACACCAGGCCATCCTCCAAAAGTCTTCGCCTCACTGTGCGTGCAGATAATAATAATAATAATAATATGCCATTTAGCAGACGCTTTTATCCAAAGCGACTTACAGTCATGTGTGCATACATTTTTACGTATGGGTGGTCCCGGGGATCGAACCCACTACCCTGGCGTTACAAGCGCCATGCTCTACCAATTGAGCTACAGAGGACCACAGATGAACTCATACCTGCCTGCTGCCATTCCTGAGCAAGCTCTGCACTGGTGGTGCCCCGATCCCGCAGCTGAATCAACTTTAGGAGACGGTCCTGGCGCTTGCTGGACTTTTTTGGGCGCCCTGAAGCCTTCTTCACAACAATTGAACCTCTCTCCTTGAAGTTCTTGATGATCCGATAAATGGTTGATTTAGGTGCAATCTTACTAGCAGCAATATACTTGCCTGTGAAGCCCTTTTTGTGCAAAGCAATGATGACGGCACGTGTTTCCTTACAGGTAACCATGGTTAACAGAGGAAGAACAATGATTTCAAGCACCACCCTCCTTTTAAAGCTTCCGGTCTGTTATTCTAACTCAATCAGCATGACAGAGTGATCTCCAGCCTTGTCCTCGTCAACACTCTCACCTGTGTTAACGAGAGAATCACTGACATGATGTCAGCTGGTCCTTTTGTGGCAGGGCTGAAATGCAGTGGAAATGTTTTTTTGGGATTAAGTTCATTTTCATGGCAAAGAGGGACTTTGCAATTAATTGCAATTAATCTGATCACTCTTCATAACATTCTGGAGTATATGCAAATTGCCATCCTAAAAACTGAGGTAGCATACTTTGTGAAAATTAACTCTCAAAACTTTTGACCACGACTGTAGGTTGCTGAGGATTTTTTATATTTATTTAATCCATTTTACAATAAGGCTGTAATGTAACAAAACGTGGAAAAAGTCAAGCCGTCTGAATACTTTCCGAAGGCACTGTATTTACAGTGCCCTCCGTAATTGTGACAGTGAAGCATTTTTTCTTCTTTTGGCGAGATACTTAAAAAAGTTTTTTTGTTAAATCAAACAATGACTATGAGGTTAAAGTGCAGACTGTCCGATTTAATTTGAGTGTATTTTCATTTAGAAATACAGCACATTTTGTACATAGTCCCACCATTTTGGGGAGCAACTTTCTCACTCATCATTATTCACGATTCATTCAGGATTATCCGTAATCATAGTAGCATCCACATTAATGTAGAAGTGTTTAGAAACATATTCTATTCTTATTTACAATAAAAGTGACTCCAAAATGACACAGTACATTATTTACCATTCATTTCTATTGGGCACAAAATAATCTGAAACACAACCAAAACAAACAGCAAATGCATCCAACAAATTTGTAGAGTCACAACGTTGATGTAGTCTTTCCGTGCTATGAATATGGGACCAAAATACTTCACTTTTTACTACTTTAATACACATAAGTGAATTTGTCCCAATACTTTTGCTCCCCTACAATGGGGGCAGTATGTACAGAAAGTGCTGTAATTTCTAAACAGTTCACCCGATATGGATGAAAATACCTTCAAATTAAAGCTGTCAGTTTGCACTTGAACTGCATAGTAATTTTTTGATTTCTGGAGTATAGAGCCAAAATAAGAAAAACGCTTCACTTATATGTGTATTAAAGTAGACTACACAGCAATAGGCTATGGCATGACATCATCATGCGGACTCTGTAATATGATTTGTTGTTCCCAAGGTGAGCTTTGGCTTCCTCACCAGCCTGCTGCGTGTCATCAAGGAGTCCTGGGAGATCCCTGTGGCAGGAGGAGGGTCCAACCTGCTGGAGCTTCTCACTAAGGTAGGTACAGCTGACACATACATTCATATTCATATTCATATTCTCTCTCTCTCTCTCTCTCTCTCTCTCTCTCTCTCTCTCTCTCTCTCTCTCTCTCTCTCTCTCTCTCTCTCTCTCTCTCTCTCTCTCTCTCTCTCTCTCTCTCTCTCTCTCTCTCTCTCTCTCTCTCTCTCTCTCTCTCTCTCTCTAATATTACTATAAATAATTATTACACAAATAATCAGAAGCCTCAATATAAGCCATATCATTGTTTGAAAATGTGACCTACACGAACATGATATACTAGACGTACATCTCTTTATCTCCCTACATGAAATGTACAATATGAACACATATCTCACTTGTTTTTCCTGTGGCCCAGCTTTCTGTGTCTCTGTGCTAGTTAGATAACCACTACGTCTCTCTATCTCGATCTGTCGGCAGGCTTTCCAGGAGAGCATATGCCACTGTCTGCAGAAGTACTGCCTCAACTATTCCACTGCACTATTTTATCTGGACAGCCTGAAGAACAGAGAGGACTTTGGCTCCTACGTTAAGGTACACTCTACTGTACTGCAGGCCGGAGCCGCCGAGCGCTGCTTATTTTGAACTGTAAATCAGTGTTGTTTGGGGCAAGGTCGCGCTGTACTGGTGCATGCTGACAATTTGGAATGTGACAATTTGTCTTCTGCTATTGTGACTCTCTTTCTTTTTTTGCTCTCAACTGAGATATATTTTCTTCCTCAACAACTTTACTCTACCTCCCCCCATCCCTCTGTTCTCTCTAATACTCTCTCTATTTCACTCTTACCCACTAACCTGTATCTTCTCTCTCTGTCTTATTTTCTCCCACACTCTTACTTAATCGCTTTTTCTCTCTATCAGATTGTGTCACACACACACTTATCTACCTACTTACAGTACAGTACACTCTCTCTCTCTCTAAACAGTAAACATTACACTATTCCAAAAGAATAACGACATTTCAAATGGCATTATGTCTATATACAGTGTCGTAACGATGTGCAAGAGTACAAAAGGGAAAATAAATAAACATAAATATGGGTTTTATTCACTGGTTGCCCTTTTCTTGTGGCAACAGGTCACACATCTTACTGCTGTGATTGCACACTCTGTATTTCACCCAACAGATATGGGAGTTTATCAAAATTGGATTTGTGGGTCTGTGCAATCTGAGGGAAATGTGTCTCTAATATGGTCATACATTTGGGAGGAGGTTAGGAAGTGCAGCTCAGTTTCCACCTAATTTTGTGGGCAGTGTGCACATAGCCATAGCCTGTCTGCCTACGGCGGCCTTTCTCAATAGCAAGTCTATGCTCACTGAGTCTGTACAGTCAAAGCTTTCCTTAATTTTGGGTCAGTCACAGTGGTCAGGTATTCTGCCACTGTGTACTCTCTGTTTAGGGCCAAATAGCATTTGCGCTGTTTTTTTGTTAATTCTTTCCAATGTGTCAAGTAATTATCTTTTTGTTTTCTCATGATTTGGATGGGTCTAATTGTGTTGCTGTCCTGGGGCTCTGTGGGGTCTGTTTGTGTTTGCTTAGGGGACTCTTCTCCAGGTTCAAACTCTCTGTAGGTGATGGCTTTGTTATGGAAGGTTTGTGAATCACTTCCTTTTAGGTGGTTGTAGAATTTAACATCTCTTTTCTGGATTTTGATAATTAGCGGGTATCGGCCTAATGCTCTGCATGCATTATTTGGTGTTTTACATTGTACACTGAGGATATTTTTGCAGAATTCTGCATGCAGAGTCTCAATTTGGTGTTTGTCCCATTTTGTTCATTCTTGGTTGGTGAACGGACCCCAGACCTCACAACCATAAAGGGCAATGGGTTCTATAACTGGCTCCCGAGTGGCGCAGCGGTCTAAGGCACTGCATCTCAGTGCTTGAGGCGTCACTACAGACCCCCTGGTTCGATTCCAGGCTGTATCACAACCGGCCGTGATTGGGAGTCCCATAGGGCGGCGCACAATTGGCCCAGCGTCGTCCGGGTTTGGCCGTTGTAGGCCGTCATTGTAAATAAGAATTTGTTCTTAACTGACTTGCCTAGTTAAATAAAGGTAAAAAATATACACTGCTCAAAAAAATAAAGGGAACACTTAAACAACACAATGTAACTCCAAGTCAATCACACTTCTGTGAAATCAAACTGTCCACTTAGGAAGCAACACTGATTGACAATACATTTCACATGCTGTTGTGCAAATGGAATAGACAACAGGTGGAAATTATAGGCAATTAGCAAGACACCCCCAATAAAGGACTGGTTTTGCAGTTGGTGACCACAGACCACTTCTCAGTTCCTATGCTTCCTGGCTGATGTTTTGGTCACTTTTGAATGCTGGCGGTGCTTTCACTCTAGTGGTAGCATGAGACGGAGTCTACAACCCACACAAGTGGCTCAGGTAGTGCAGCTCATCCAGGATGGCACATCAATGCGAGCTGTGGGATGAAGGTTTGCTGTGTCTGTCAGCGTAGTGTCCAGAGCATGGAGGCGCTACCAGGAGACAGGCCAGTACATCAGGAGACGTGGAGGAGGCCGTAGGAGGGCAACAACCCAGCAGCAGGACTGCTACCGCCGACCTTTGTGCAAGGAGGAGCAGGAGGAGCACTGCCAGAGCCCTGCAAAATGACTTCCAGCAGGCCACAAATGTGCATGTGTCTGCTCAAACGGTCAGAAACAGACTCCATGAGGGTGGTATGAGGGCCCGACGTCCACAGGTGGGGGTTGTGCTTACAGCCCAACACCGTGCAGGACGTTTGGCATTTGCCAGAGAACACCAAGATTGGCAAATTCGCCACTGGCGCCTTGTGCTCTTCACAGATTAAAGCAGGTTCACACTGAGCACGTGACAGACGTGACAGAGTCTGGAGACGCCGTGGAGAACGTTCTGCTGCCTGCAACATCCTCCAGCATGACCGGTTTGGCGGTGGGTCAGTCATGGTGTGGGGTGGCATTTCTTTGGGGGGCCGCACAGCCCTCCATGTGCTCGCCAGAGGTAGCCTGACTGCCATTAGGTATCGAGATGAGATCCTCAGACCCCTTGTGAGACCATATGCTGGTGCGGTTGGCCCTGGGTTCCTCCTAATGCAAGACAATGCTAGACCTCATGTGGCTGGAGTGTGTCAGCAGTTCCTGCAAGAGGAAGGCATTGATGCTATGGACTTGCCCGCCCGTTCCCCAGACCTGAATCCAATTGAGCACATCTGGGACATCATGTCTCGCTCCATCCACCAACGCCACTGTCCAGGAGTTGGCGGATGCTTTAGTCCAGGTCTGGGAGGAGATCCCTCAGGAGACCATCCGCCACCTCATCAGGAGCATGCCCAGGCGTTGTAGGGAGGTCATACAGGCACGTGGAGGCCACACACACTACTGAGCCTCATTTTGACTTGTTTTAAGGACATTACATCAAAGTTGGATCAGCCTGTAGTGTGGTTTTCCACTTTAATTTTGAGGGTGACTCCAAATCCAGACCTCCATTGGTTGATAAATTTGATTTCCATTGATAATTTTTGTGTGATTTTGTTGTCAGCACATTCAACTAAAGAAAAAAGTATTTAATAAGATTATTTCATTCATTCAGATCTAGGATGTGTTATTTTAGTGTTCCCTTTATTTTTTTGAGCAGTGTATATACATTTTTAGCACGATCCTAATTGGTATGTTGAATTTTATGTTCCTTTTGATGGCATAGAAGGCCCTTCTTGCCTTGTCATTCAGATCGTTCACAGCCTTGTGGAAGTTACCTGTGGTGCTGACGTTTAGGCCGAGGTATGTATAGTTCTCTGTGTGCTCTAGGGCAACGGTGTCTAGATGGAATTTGTATTTGTGGTCCTGGCAACTGGGTCTTTTTTGGAATGCCATTATTTTTGTCTTACTGAGATTTACTGTCATGGCCCAGGTCTGACAGAATCTGTGCAGAAGATTTAGGTGCTGCTGTAGGCCATCCTTGGTTGGGGACAGAAGCACCAGATCATCAGCAAACAGCAAACAGTAGACATTTGACTTCAGATTCTAGTAGGGTGAGGCCGGGTGCTGCGGACTGTTCAACATAAATATGGGTTGTATTTACAATGGTGTTTGTTCTTCACTGGTTGCCCTTTTCTTGTGGCAACAGGTCACAAATATTGGTGCTGTGATGGCACACTGTGGTTTTTCACCCAGTAGATAAGGGAGTTTATCAAAATTGGGTTTGTTTTCGAATTCTTTGTGGATCTCTGTAATCTAAGGGAAATATGTGTCTGTAATATGGTCATACATTTAGCAGGAGTTTAGGAAGTGCAGCTCAGTTTCCACCTTTTGTGGGCAGTGTGCACATAGCATGTCTTCTCTTGAGAGCCAGGTCTGCCTACGGCGGCCTTTCTCAATAGCAAGGCTATGCTCACGGAGTCTGTACATTGTCAAAGCTTTCCTTAAGTTTGGGTCAGTCACAGTGGTCAGGTATTCTGCCACTGTGTACTCTCTGTTTAGGGCCAAATAGTATTCTAGTTTGCTCAGTTTTTTTGTTAATTCTTTCCAATGTGTCAAGTAATTCTCTTTTTGTTTTCTCATGATTTGGTTGGGTCTAAATGTGTTGTTGTCGTGCACTCTCTCTCTCTCATGCTCTCTCTCTCGCACGCTCTCTCGTGCGCTCTCTCTCTCGTGCGCTCTTTCTCTCTCTCGTGCGCGCTCTCTCTCGTGCGCGCTCTCTCTCGTGCGCGCTCTCTCTCGTGCTCTCTTTCTCTCTCTCGTGCTCTCTTTCTCTCTCTCATGCTCTCTCTCTCTCATGCTCTCTCTCTCGTGCTCTCTCTCTTGTGCGCTGTCTCTCTCTCTCGTGCACTCTCTCGTGCGCTCTCTCTCGTGCGCTCTCTCTCTCGTGCGCTCTCTCTCTCGTGCGCTCTCTCGCTCTCGTGCGCTCTCTCTCTCTCATGCGCTCTCTCTCTCTCGTGCTCTCTCTCTCTCTCTCTCTCTCTCGTGCTCTCTCTCGCTCTCGTGCTCTCTCTCTCTCTTTTCTAGTGGTGTGAGAGGAACCCGGAGTGCCGGAGGCTGCAGTTGCGTGACCTGTTAGTAGCGCCGTTGCAGCGTCTGACCCGCTACCCCCTGCTGCTGAAGAACGTGGGGAAGAGGAGCCGGACGGAGGAGGAGGAGAGCGCCCTGCAGAGCGTGGTGGAGCAGGTGGACACCTCCATATGTGAGCATCCCCCCTCCTTCACCCACTTCACTGGAACAGTGTATTGTAGTACCCCATATCACTACACAGGCTGCTCATTATTAGATGATCTGGGTGATTTGCATAATGGCCGACTATCAGCCGAGATGTCTCATCTAAACCTAATTTAACAGTAGTCAGTCATCACCAGTGGCTCTTCTCGGTCCCTAACCACAACATTAATGTTTTTGCCATGTAAGGAAACTTGAACATACTAGCCTCTCCTGTGTCTTACTATGGAGGAGACCATTGACTTGAATGGGGATGCCTGCTTGTTCTAGGAGTTCTATTTTTCTATGTAGGAAAAAGCAGACCTGCCATTCAGGTTATCAGGCCATCAGGGCTCTAGGGGTTTTCCTGACAGCGCTATGCTTTTGACAGCCACTTACACATATCTCCTGGCTTAAAGGGTGACTGCACTTCCTGATTTGGACTCGTTTTGAAGATTGCTCATTAAGAAGCCGCCATGACTGAAGCCAAACAAGAGTTGTCTTGGGGGTGTGGTTTGATGTGGGTGTTATTTTTGCATATCATACCCTGGCAGGTACTGTTGTTTGTCCCTCCTGAGTCACCGTAGCAACAACATAGCCCCTTCCTCAAAATAGTCAGAATTAATAGTAAGATAAATCAAGAAATCTGTAAATAATTTAGACATTTTTGCCAAGGTCTTAGTCGCGCAATTTTACATCTAGTTAAGGTGTTTGGTGCAGTATTTCTCAAGTCAACAAATGTGCATGAAAACTAGTCAGTGCACTGCACAAAGTCTATCTAGTCGGGAAAGTCTGGTATTGATTTCTGAGAACAATAACATGTCTACAACATAATCTGCAAACTGGCAAACTATCATAAATAAAGCACAAGCTACGCGCTGTTTACCTGCTCGCGAATGCTCGCGAATACAAGTTGCAGTTGGGATACAAGTGCGCTCTGATCGTCTCAATTGTAATTTTGCCTAAAAAAGTGGCAGACTCGCGTGATTGACACTATCAAACACATCAGCATGTGGCCACTCCATAAAGGGCTTAGGTCTAAGGGTTATTTCAACATAAAATTGGCGACATGTTATCTTATGTAAACAAGTCTGAGGGGCTGAGGAAAGGGCTCAGCCCCTCAGGGATCTGTCTCACTGTCTGGAAGTTCTGGCTACTATGATTGGATAGAGCGTGCACAGCTGATAGAGCACAATCAGCACAGCTGCTTCTCTCGTGTTAGTGGCATTGTGCATCCATAGACAACTCTCCAGTAAGTCGTGACGAACTCACTTACAAAACTCCGTTTTGGACGAGATTGACTTTATGACCAAAATTATCCTATTTACACTTTGTAGTCAATTTTGACACTAGAATGAATGTTTCTGACTCATATCAATCCTACATTGACTGTTTAAAACCAGAGAAGTTGGTTCTAAGGGGCAGTTGTCCTTTAACTCACATCTTCACGCCTGTTGCAAAATATACATTGTGGAAAAGTTATTTATAAGCAAATACAACCAAGGGAGATATACAAATACAAGTATTTTAGAAATGGCTTACCAAATAGCCAGTTTATTTGTTGGACAGCAGCCAAAAGCTGTGACAATTGAAGTCTTCTCTGCGTGCCTGTACTTGCAGACTCGTTTTGTTTGTTTACTCTATAGATGGACAGGACCGGCTGGGAGAAAATATGTAACAGTATTGTACCTTGAATGTAATTGTTCTTGTATATCAAACCCATCTTTCATTGCTATCTGGTTTCACAGTGCTTTCACAATGTGCTTATAGGTTATTTCCCATAGCCAGGCTTTAACAGGGTGTGACTACTGACAACAACAGAGGTGTACAGTGAGTCAGTGTGACCTGGGAATAACATTGTCACCATGGCATGCTGGGCTGAATAGGTCAATGTCTCATGGGTGTGGAGGGTGTTTTAAGTAAAAGGTGGGCGCAGTAATGGAGCATTATAGATCACACCCATGTTGCGACACACAGTGAACTGTCGTAATCGTTTAATGATATCCGTATCAAGAACTTTGAGATGCAACATCAGAGATACTATTTCAAATTGATTTGTTTCATTGCCAATACCAGACAAATTGATAGTTCAATTAAGAATGTAGCTGAAAATGTTACAAAGTAAAACTAATACGAAGTTACATAAATAATATTAATTTAACTTGATGACAACGAAGTGACATCCTTGTTGAGGTTTCTGTGTGTGTTCTAATGCCTGGGATAAGCCAGCCAGAATCGATGTTCCTAACTTGTGTGTGCACTGCTCACAACCAAACATTTGAGGGCTAGATTCAATCAGATTGACATCGGCATAGCGTTGTCGAAGGTGGAACTGCATTAAGCCTTGTGCACACCAACTGCGGTAAACTGTATGCGTTCCGGTGGAAGTCCATTAATTTCAATCGGAGGCAATCCGCACCGCTGTGACTCATCTGCCGGACTAGGCTGGAATTTTCTAACTTGTGCGTTGCTTTGCCATGCATTATCAGAAATGGAAGTAGATAAGCCACCGAAGGTGCGTGATTCTTTTTGTTGTGATGAGGCGCATGGATTGCGATGATTACGTAAAATGTACCGTACGGCAATGTAATAATGCAGCCGGTGTGCACGCGGCGTCAGAGCTGTCAAATCCACAAAGGTCTCTTTGCGTTACCTTATCGCAGACAGTGCCATTGGATGCAACGATACCACACCTGACTATAATCCGACCATGTTCAAACACTTGAATTAGATTGATAGGCTATAAATCCCCCATCCAAATTATCAGAAATGGTTTGACATTTGAGTCATTATTCCTATGATCGATAGAGCCTACACTTTCTACCGCCGTTTTGAACTTCTTACGCGGTAGGGATAATACACAAGACCAGCTGCATACCAATATGTCAGCTCATACCGCTCCAACACCGCCAAAACATCTGCTATGCGTTTGGACTCATTCACACACACTCTTCCCCCTCTGTGTGTGTATGTGTTGTGTGTGTGCGCGCAGGTGATCTGGAGGGGAAGGTGAAATGGCTGGACAACTACCAGAAGGTGAAACAGCTGAGGGATTCCCTGGTGTGGCTGCCAGTGTGGGAGAGAGACAAGCGGGCCTTCGTCCCTGAGGTAAGGCTGCTTTCACTATACTGGGAGAGTTGAGCTTTGAATACCAAACTTGGTTTGCACAAATACAGAATAGAATAGAACTTACTCAATTTACTTAATCCTCTTGGTTCCTGGAGGAACATAGGGCCTGTACTAAAGTTTTCCACTATTGTCAGTCTTAGGCTGCTTTGTTTGCCTCTTGCCATGACAAGTGGATATTCTTGAGTTCTGAATAGAATAGAACAGATCATATGGTTAATGTTTCTTAAACAAGTCAGATACTACAATAACTTAGCTGTATCTTAAATCAGAGATCATAGCACTGATGTAAAGGAAAGAGAAAGCTGTCTAAAGCTTTTTAGTGGGGGGGTTTTCAGATAAGTATCAAGTGATACCTAACATCAGGATCCGCAAAGCTACATAGACACACAGATGAGATATTACAGTGTGAAATGTAAATGATACTGCCCGAGAAGCCGGTGTTTGGAGGATATATTGGCATGGGTGTTGTTAGGCCCGAGACGAAGACGAGGGCCGGCAAACCGTGCCAATATATCCTCCAAACACCGGCTTCTCGGGCATTATCACTTTTATACAACAGGTTCCCAACATATTCAAATAATGATTGACATATTTTAATTAAAAAACATTATTTTGATGAATTTATTCATACTATTTCATCCTTCCACAAGATATAGTCCCGACACAAATCTAGGGTTGCTACCCAAGACGTCTGGTCATTCTTTTTATTGGTTTGGTTGCCAGAGACGCGACCCGGTTTGGCAACGTTCTTATCCCTTGCTTGCTAGCTAGCCAACTACGGCTAACTTACAGTCACGTCAAAAAGCCAGAATAACAGCAAAGTAGATGCATTTGCATTTGTTTAAGCTGTTTTCTAGAGAGATTTATTTGGATAGACACTGTTATTCAGAGGAGCTAGCCAACAACACAGCTAACATAATCACTTCAAACTGAAGCTGGAAAGACTGCAAACTAGCTGCACTTTGTTTGACCTTTTTTCAATTGACATTTCTTTGTATATGTCCATAAAAATGATGCCAGCTGATTAATGATTTCGACTGGTTGAGAAAGGCTGCCTGCCTGCCTGTCTCGTCCTGACTCCTGACATGTTCATTACCATGGGACAGCTGGAGATCACATTTGAATCTTGAAACAATGTTGCAAATGTCGGAGACAGACAGCAAGGTTTAAACAAACCTCTGCTGTTGAAAACTAAATGTTAGTCTAAAAGAAATGTGAGATAATGTCTAGATGCTTTTTATAGTGGAGATCAAGTTTATAAATTGCTTGGCTGGGCTGATGAGACAGTGGATTGCGCAGTCAGATGGAACAGAGGTAAATAGGCATTTTAATGTCATAGATTTAGCCGGTGGTAACTTGTGGAATAGACACCGGCTGGAATGCGCTTTTAACCAATCAGCATTCAGCATTAGACCCACCCGTTGTATAAGAAAAAATATATATACTGACACCACATACAGTATGAACTTATAAGAACGCAAACAAATTTCCCACAACATAACCTCAGCCCTTCATTTGGCTACAAACAGAATCTGAAGCATCTCCTAAAGGCTGTCACCCTCGAAAACCTCATCTCTCATCGGAGCCTGCTGCACAAGGGAAAACTAGTGCTTACAGGTCAGTGACATACAGAGGAATTAGACAAGACTAATTAAAATAGTTTGAAGTACTGTAGTTCTACATATTTTAGCCATGTCATCTCTATATGTGATTCTAGAGAACGGCAAGCTGCACGATGTGTACCTGTTTCTGTTTGACGAGTTCCTCCTCATCACCAAGATCAAGAGGAACAAAAAGGTGCTCCCAATATCTGATTTGTTGCATATACTTATCTACTTCCTTATTTCCTTACTTACTTCCTTCTCTCTTTCTCCCTCCAGAAGTCCACAGGTCCTGAACAGAGTCCTCTGCGTCCACCTCAGAACCAGGAATTGGACCAGCTGCTGAAGGAGGGCTGTACCTTCACTGTCCTGGATCAGCCCATCTCGCTGGACCGCCTCCAGCTCAAGAACGTAGACCAACTCAACGCAGCAGGTGGGGAGGGATCAACACCTGCATGATATAGGAGTTAAAAAAGGCCAGCACTCACTTATATAGTTACCACAGTTCTTTTAAGGCAGCCTGTCCTAGTAGCACACACAAACATCTCAGCTTTTGTCTACCTTAGTGTGTGTGTCAAATCAAAGTTTATTGGTCATATGCACAGGATACAGCGGGGTGAAAATTGTAAAATGTAAAGCTTACTCTCCTCTCAACTGTGTGTGTGTGTGCAAAAGAATCAACAACCTGATTCCAGGATCTCATCACTGATTTCAACATAGATTTTCAACAGGCCTATTAAACATCTACTAATACATTACATTTAGGCTAGGGATTCCCACACCCCTTGTCACTTGTTTCACACCTCATGCTTTACTGATAAAATCTGGATTTGATATCAATAATCAAGCCTATGATAAAAACATATTGTGTAATCAACAGTTATCTAAACAGCAGATTAGTAATCTGTAATCGATTACAGTATCAGTCCGGAGTTATTTGTTCAGTACTCTTTCTTCTGTACTACTGTGTCGGCAACAAGAGAACTGGTTTGTATTCATTAGGAACAAAACAGACGCAAACGGGCCAAAACAGGGAGGGACTAACTGAACTTGTCCAATAAGAAACGCTTGTTTTCATTATCTGTTACACATTTTTTTGCTAAGTTTTTCAACGGTGTGCACTAATGAATGTTTCATCCTTCTCTTCTCAGTGTCAGGGCTACCCCAATCCTTCATCATCATGCACCAGAACCGCTACCAGCAGTGTATCGCTGCCTTCATCCTACAAGCTCCGTCCGAGGCCGTCAAGGTACAGTAAGAGCAGTCTGACTTGACGTTAAACACACTGCGTGTTGTAGGCCAAACAAAAACACTATGAACAGCAGTGTTTTTACAGTGAGAATTGGATTGCATACCGTTTTGCTGTTCATGTGTAGCTGGGTGCTTATAATTGTACCATGGCGACTGGCAACATTCCATTGGCATGACAACAGCTGCCAACATCGCAGAGCATCACATAACATGAAATACCACATAACAGTGGTATCTTATGTAAGGCATGGATCTATCACTATCAGGAAACTGCCATCTCAATATACTCATAGCAGGGTCAAAGTTTATACATTTTTGATTAGTTGCTGGTTGATAACTGCCATATAAATTCCTGTGTTATATCATTCATCACCATGTTTCATTCCCACACCTGATAAATCATTGTTCAGCTATTTACAGTCTATATCTGTCCGGGAGATTTTCACTTAACAAACATACTAATTGCTATCACCCCAGAAATCAAGTGACTCACTCCAGCTAGTGTTGGGTCATCATTAGACTACACTAGCAGAGAAGTTACTTTTTTTCCCCACTGTCTGGATAGCTTATTCTAATACTGTCGAAGTCACCTTGCTCTCTGATACTTCTAGGTTAGGTGGAATTTCCTTCATTACTAGGCATGAGTTAGCCGAGTATCGTCATGGTACCCTGCATGTGTCAAGTTCATTTAAAGTGCATTTCACAAACGTCACAACACACTTTACATGATTAAAAAGGGAAGAACAAAACAATGTATAACAAAAATAAAAACCAACAATAACAATACAAATGTATGTGTGTTTCCAGAGGGTGTGGATGTCAGAGATAGAGGGTGCTGTGGCAATGCTGCTGAGATTGGATTCCCAGCAGCCTCCCCGGGTGAAAAGCTCCTCACTGTGGCTAGAGTCCTCCCAGATCTGAGCAGTCTGACTTTCACTACTAGAACAGAGGACCACAAACACTGCTTCTGGACAGCTACCGGTGCCTGATCCCCACTATAGCTCCTGAACCATAGGTGGCTCTTGATATTTTCTTTTCACACTGTCCTTTCCAGCACAGTTCCAGAAACTAGGTGGATGGTGGAAGAGTGACCAGGCCAGCCCAGTAGAACTTGGCTCAGTAGTGTGAAAGGGGTATAAGTGTGCAGGCTCTATGTACCGACTAGCACAAATACACTTGATTGAACTTTTAAAACTAGCTACTAGTCGAGACCCTTGATTAGTTGAATCAGGTGTGTTAGTTGGTGCTGGGCTGGAACAAACACATCCACACATGATGGATCTCTCCAGTACCAGGGTTGGTGACCACTGCCATAGACTCTGGCTAAAACAAGGACTTCTATAACTGTATCATGCACTATGGTCCCTCCCAAGCCCTTGTAAAATACTAGCAGGATAACTTTTGTAAAATTAATGTTTGCTTTGAAAATGTATTGCGGTACCATAATAGATGACAAATAGTTGAAAATGAGAAGATGACTGTCCTGTGTTGCTGATGGGTGCTCCGGGTACATGTAGGCATTCAATGTGTCTGTGGCAAACAGTACAACAACAGTATACAGTCAACTGTAACAACATATACAGTCATAACATCACAATAAGTACTGACCCATGTCATTATCATCATCCCAGTGGGTAACAAATCATGATACATCACACATACTCTGGCTTAACACACTGGTATAAACAGACACTGACCACCAAGGAAAATAGAAACAACTAGTTTTATTTACTCTTAGTAATGATGGACAATTTGACAATAAATGGTACATCTGGACATAAATGTCATTATCCTTTCTTTCCTTCCTTAAATCACACACACGTTCCTCCTTCCAGGTCAGGTAGTCCATGACAGAGTCTGTGGTGGCAGTGTTCTAAGAACACAGAGAGCCTGACAAACAAGACCTTGACTTAAGGCACAGCCACTACATATGGGCCCTGTTACAATACTCCAGAAATGCATCCTTCCTACCTTCCTTGAAGTAGTCACAGATCTCAATTGGTTGGATAGGTGGAAGTGATAGGGTCGTAACCTTGTTTTCACCTATCCATCTACTTATAGATCAGTGCTTACCTGAAGGAAATTAGGAAAGACATTTCTAAAGTATATGAACGGGGCCATGATATCCTCCAAAGTGGATGAAGAACAATGAACTATAAAGCCAATCGATACATCATGCATGACGACTGACATCCACGTGAAACAAGCCACAGATTAATTAGTGTAGTAGTACCATTCACTAAAATTAATTCAGTAAGACAATTATGGGTTTACATTACATTTGTTGTCGACGCGTTTATTTATATACAAGTGTTATTTAACATACTTTTTTATTTTCATTTTCTTCCATAAGAAAATGTAACAATTTTACAAAGATAATACAATAGCCAGCTATTAGTGAGTGATAATGTAATACAGTAAGATGGTAAACCCTACGGCAGAGTTACGGGGGTGGGGAGGGCTTTTGTTCCAGCCGAGCACTGAAACAAGAGTTTCAACTAATTAAAGTCTTAATGAGCAATTGATATGAAACAGGTGCTAGTGCTGGGCTGGAACAAAAGCCTGCACACCTTGTAGCTCTCTCCAGAACCAGGGTTTGTGACCATCGCTCAACTGTAGGGGTGGAATGGGGCGATAGTTAGTGGGGCAATACTTGCGGCTTCCTCAGGGATTGACACCTCCATGGCACTGAGAGAGACAGAGGCTGTGACTCTGATACTAGCCAACACTATTCTGATGTGTGGGTTTTTATCCCAGATTCTGATAAAAGTGGTGGTCTAGACCGCCAATCTCTTGGCCTTAGTGACAACACTTAACGACACCCATCGCAAGCTGGGGAACTTGATCTGCAGGGACAGGCCAGCAGGGAAAGAATACTTTCATTATCTTTCAGGTTAACCATAGTGCTATTTATATGCCTGTGCCAATCTGAGGTAGACGAAACAAAACCAATGTAATACAGACATGGATACTAACACAGGAGTCTACTTGATCAAAGTGACCTGGTACAAAGCCATGTGTTTGAGAATGACCTTCTTCTGAGTGGTCGTTTGTAGCTCAGTTGGTAGAGCATGTCGCTTGTAATGCCAGGGTAGTGGGTTCGATTCCCGGGACCCTCCCATATACGTAAAATGTGTGCACGAATGACTAAATCGCTTTGGAAAAGCGTCTGCTAAATGGCGTATATATTTTCTGGAACCCAGAGTAGAGGAAGGACTGTTATAGAGAGAGTAAAGGATGTTCAGTCCGCCAAAAGACAGCTAGCCGGACACAGCCAGACAGCAAACCACGCCACACAAACAAGTCACTCACAAACTCTTAATACAATCATTTACTGTGGATTGACCAGACAATGCAGGAGCAGTTCAATCAGTATTAAGAGCTCGTCAAAAAGACAATAAAACACTTCAACGAGGATTACATTTTTCAGTTATCAGTTCTATTTGACTGGTGGTAAAGTGTTAGCAGTTAGCGTAAATCAACACTGACATGTCCAAATGTGTCGCAGAGAGAAGGTTAACAGCCACCATGCATATACTGTAGAGCAGCGTTTCCCAACCTTCTCCATTCCGGGGACCACCAAATCACCGCCAAAAGCTCGAGGACCACCATTCGCGGAATCACAGAATTGTTTTCACAAATATCTTGCCGGTCAAATTTATAGTCAATTTGATCAATGAATTTAACTTTTGTGAAAAGTAATGTAAAATTGCTTATAATACCATGAAAGCGCAACTGAAGGCAATAAACAACTTATCTGTTAGAAAACAGCCTATGTGGCATCGATATTAGTCCGAAATATTTATTGTAGTGTCAAAATTGACTACAAAGAGTAAATAGGCTAATTTTGGTCATAAAGTCAGTCTCGTCCAAAACTGAGATTCATGAGATAATTAAGAAAAAATTGTATATCACAGAACGCAACACATGCCCACAACTGGCAACACCCAAGTAATCATCAATTCGGAGTGCAGCTGCACACAACCCGATTGTAATGCCCCATGGTCAATTTGGTTTGACAATAGATATCCCTATGGGGCTAGTTAGGGACCATCAGTAAATTACACAATGTACATGGGACAACATTTTAAAACGTCAATAGCTCCAAAATTCTATGAATTGAAAACCTCAAACCAACTGAAAATTGTAGAAATTCATATACAAATATTGAAAGCTTTTAATGAGACAACTAAAAGACGTGCAACATGAAAATATTGTCCCATTTACATAGTGTAATTTATTGACGGCCCCTAACTAGCCCCATAGACAGGCTATCCAAAGTCAAACAAACTTTGCCATGGTCGCACACCGGCAGGCTGAAGCTAATTAGCGAAAGAAGTTGGCTAGCTTGCTAGCTAGTCTAGGCCATAAGAAATGGTTAAACTGTTTCACGTCATCTAGAAGGGTGAGTGACTAACTGTGTACTGTTTTGGCATAGTGAAAGTACAAATGCTTCCCACATTCGAACACACACACACACACACACGAGACACCCACATCAAAGCACGCCTCCAAGACCCAAATCTTGTTCTCAGTCGCATTTCCTTATGAGAATTGAAAGCGAAGCTAAATCAGGAAGTTCAGCCCCCCTTTAATACTCCCAACTATTTTTATAAAAATAAATACAAAAATAAAAACAGTACCCTGGTGGTCCGCAGACCAAAGGTTGAAATCCACTGCTGTAGAGGTGCTGTACAGACAGACAACACTGCCACCCTACACACACACTACACATTATTCCTAAAACACCACACATACAAGATACACGCAGACAGTTATTGCTTCAAAGCAGAGCACACACAGCTCCTGCAGTAAGTAGTCATGATGTTGAATGGGATACAGGCGACAAAAAACATCACATGCAACCACGTGGATCTCATCACGTCTGCATTCAATGAGAAAAAGAAGCACCACAAGTAGTTGTTTACATTTGTTGTTTGCAGGAGATCAACGACGGTGCAAAACAAAGACGTCATTCCATTTTGTAGAAAAATGATCATAAAAATCTGATGTACATTATAAATGCCAGCCACGTTCAAGCATGTCTGAATTCATGATAAAATGTAGGACCTTACAAGTCAAAAACTCAAAGCTTTCGGCTAGATTAAAAAAGTAATTGAGAAGAAATTAAGGTAAAGAAAAATCCAGGCTTTCCGTTTTGCCTCATATCCTACCATCTCAGGACAGTTGGACTCCTCCAGTTGGGACATTCTTTGGTCGTGAACAAAATACTTATCTTAAAACAAACAGAACCACTGCTTTCAACCCTTTAACATAACTCTATATCCTTTTGTTAAAACAACTTAACCCATTCGGTATTTAACCCCTTTCTTACACCTGCCTTCACAACTCTTCTAGACACAACGTACACTTACAGTCAACCGCCTTGTCTTCCTAAATGTTAAAGATGCTAACGATGCCAAACCAAGATGACCGCCGTCTTAGCTAGACATGTAGAGTAAAGATGGTTAGTGCTGTTGAGCTCTCCCCGTTACCACCCTCTGACCAACCAGCCAGCCTCATAAGCAGCAAAGGCACTATACAGATTTGGCCCTTCCCATTCTGTCCCATAGCTCTGGCATGTCTGCTGTGCTTCTTCCATCATGTTCCTATCTTGTGTGACACAGAGACCCCAGCTAACCCCCTTGCTAAGACCACTGGCCCCTAGAACGACTGTGGCCCATACAGTGACTGTGGCCCCTTGTCCTGCACTCCCATCCCATCACCAGGTACCTCCTCTTCAAAGCACAGTAGGTCTGATTGGTTCAAATGATCCATGAAGTCATAGAAAGACAGGTGTTGATTTCTCAAAGTCAGTTTGTAAGAATGCACGTAGGAAACGATGAGACATGCCGTCACTGGAGGGGCCAGGGGGCCGAGAGAGAGAGGTGTCAGCCCTGGAGATCTTCGAAGCACGTCTCACACACCCGCACAGGCTTCTTGGAGGAGGGTGTGAGAGCGTTCTTGGCAGAGCACTCTGCACAGAAGATGTTGCCACAGTGTCTGCAGTGGTGCTGTGGGGGGAGAGAGTAGAGAGAGAGTCAGTTAGGAGGATGGGCAGGACAGTCTGACTGTCCTGATGATATAACACTTTGTAGAACTCCTTTGTGGCACCTCCTTCAACCCTCTTACCATGGTTGTGTTCATTAGGAACCAAACAGAAGAAAACTGACTGGGACTACCTGGAATTTTCCATTGCAAAACTCTCTGAGCATGCCATAATGAACACAACCCAGATGAACAGAACGACATGCAACACAACTCACCTTCCTGATGGCAAGAGAGAAGCCCTTCTCACAGGCCATGCAGTTCTGTACCTCGTGGTCCTCCGCCCACTTCCTGGTCAGAGACTGTGACTGCTTTATCTACAGATGGGGAAAGGGAGAGAGAGGGGTTAGTCCATATACATACACACAGGAAAACCAGCTCCACTGCACGTCTGCACCTATACAAACAGGCATGTACACACTAACACACACAGCTCTATTGACTTTAAGTACCCATCGAACGAGTCCTACAGAGTTCTAACCAGCAGAGCTGCGCAGTATATTGTGACACGTCCACAGCTCGACAATTAAATGAGATCAGTAAATTATGTAATAATGGGTCGTCAGACTATCGTGGCTCCACGGCTGTGGACTCTGTTGGGTCTAATACATTTGGACCCCAGGAAGAGTAGCTGCTGCCTTGGCAACAGCTAATGGGGATTCTAATAAAATACTAAATACACGTAGACTGGTGTATGTGTACTGTGTTGTATTGTCTAGTTCAGCTACAGGTCACACAGAATGATGCAACTGAAGTCATAATACATATGTCTAACATGGCGTTATGTATCCTGTATTGTTACCTGTAGTGACTGGTTTTCTCTGCCCAGCTCCTGCATGGCAGCGGTTGTATCATCCAGTTTCCTGCGCATCTCCACCACCTTGGACTGCAGTTTCTCCATCTCCCCCTCACCCTTCACACACCTGAAACACAACCATTACACACAGGCACAATGGTGAAAGGCTAAAAGCTACCATAGGAGGAGAGAGAAAAAAGGATAGAGAGTGACAGAGAGAAAAAACCCAATGAAAGCACTAAAACACCTCCAATGCAAGCTCTGCTGCATTACAGGCCAAACTACCGGAAATCAGTTATCTCTGACACCTTGCTGGATAGGCTAACAGCCAACGTGCTCTTTTGCACGCTGTTTGGGAAGGGTCCGTAAGTAAGCATTTCACTGTTAGTCTACACCTGTTGTTTAAGAAGCATGTGACAAATACATTTTGATTTGATTTGGAAGACATCCATGAGGGGAGATCTAGGCGATTCCTAGCTACATTATAGTTTCTGGTAAAACCACGACATTAGCGGCTGCAATTCTGAAGACAACTTCACACCCACTCCTCCCCTTCACCTCTCCAGCAGCGCGCGTCTCTCGTCCTGGTTGTTCTGCACGGTGGCCTCTAGCACAGCGATCTCGCCCCGCAGTTCATCAGTCTGCTTCTCCAGTTCGCCACAGCGCCGCTGGCTGCCCTGCCATTCCCTCTTTAGCGTGGCCACGTTCTCGTTGAGCGCAGTCACCTGCAGGCCCAGCCGCGCCTCCGCCTCCTCTCCCCGCTTCGCCTGCTCCTCCCGGGCTTTACGTTCTGACGCCTGGGGAGGGGCGGGGGATGGGGAGGAGGAAGGGGGAGGAGGAGGGAATGGGAGGGAGTGAGGGGTAGAGAGATGACAGGGTATTTAGAAGTTCAGAGGAGAAAAGCCACACACCTACAGCTCTACAAAACATCTGAGTGATAATACCTAAAAAAGACACCACCACACATTTGTGAAACACAGAAAATGACAGAGAGCCTGCATGGTGTCTACAAAACACAGCATTTAAAAACACTGGAGGTGTTCTGTGTGTGTAACATTTCCACCAGCAAATAGTACTTCAATGTCAAACATCACATGTAGCTCCTTTAATAAGTGTTGATGCCATCTGGAACGTTAGTAGGTAGGTAAACGACTAAGCGTACTAGCTGGGCCTGGACCTCCTGGGTCTCCACCCGAGACTTCTCCTCTCTCTGGGTAACACTGTCCCTGGTGGCCTGGTGCTGGGTCTTCTCCTGCTCCAGGGCTGCCTGCACCTCCTCCACACGGCCCTGCACCTCCAGCTTCTGCTGGATCAACAGCTGCTTGGCCTCCCGCAGCTCCCTCAACTCCTGGGGGGAAGAAGAGAAGGGGTGAGGAGGGAGAGATGGATGGATAGGTGTAAGCAATATGATGGAATTGTCACCATTTTGCTAAGACCTATCCAATCATCTCAGATCTACAGTAGTACCTAGGGGGTAGAGGTTGATATGGGATTCAGTTGGTTCAATTCCGAATCAACCCCTCCCCCTTCCACTCCCCTGTGAGCTGTTCAATGATCCCAGAACGAGGACCCACTCGTAAATCTCTGGATAAGGAGTCTCTCACCTTCTCACTCCTCTCCCTGAGTGCCTTCAGCTCAGAGCCCAGTTTGGTCGTGTCCTTCTCCAGGGCAGCCTTAGTCTGGCTCAGCTCCTTTGCTCTGCTCCTCTCCTTCTGCAGCTCCTCTTGGGTCACACCCTGCGTGGGGGAGGGGGTTACAGCATGAGGGGAGCAATCATACAACGCACATCCTAAGTCCCATTAGGGGTAAGAGACGGGGTCAGAGATGGATCAAAGTCCCCAAATAACATGATGCTCTGACTATGGTTTGGAACAAGACTTACAACAACTATAACAAGAGATTCATTACACAAATCCAACCGGGATACCCCCCAGTCAGACATACAGTCGGAGTCTTCCCTCCTTATCAAGGATTAGTTTAGCCTTTTAGATCATAATGAATACGATTATATGGACCGGGAACTCAGATGCTTTTTGAACACAATCCTGGGTCTGACCTGATGTTTCTGCAGCTCTTTGAGGGATGTCTCCTGCTGGCCCAGCCTCTGGTCCCGTTTAGCAAGCTCCTGCTCCAGGGAGGCCCGGGCAGCCTCCACTTCCTGGATCTGCCCCTCCAGACCAGTCAGCTGGGTCCGGTTAGCAGCCAACTCCTCCTGGGACAGAGTCAGCCTCTCCTCAGATGCCTGGACAGAGTATACACACAAGCATGTGTCACATACAGCACATGGTTCATACAAACACACAGCAAACAGGCTCAGGTCACACACACTAGAGAGGTGTGCGTGCATACCATACTTTCAAATTAGCATTATGTAAAAAGTTAAAAAGGCTATGATTTGCATGATCCTACACCTATGGTGTCCTGGTAGTAGGTTAGGCAGACACTTGTGTCTGATGTTGATGATCAATATTTGCATGCGGTCTGACACTGGTATCTCCATTGATTCCTCTTAACTACCTTGGTCTTCTCACATATATTCTTCACTCACACAAAACATTTTCTCCTCATAAAATGATTATTCTTGTCCAACTGCCACTGACCCTGTCCTGCATCCATAGAAATAGAATTGAATGAGGATGCCCATTTTAGTAATTCTATTTCTATGCATGCATGTTCTCCCACTCACCTCGAGGTCCTGTCTGAGAGATGACACCTCTGACTCCTTGCCGTAGTAGTCAGACTGCAGCTTGGCCAGTCCCTCCTGACTCTGCTCTAGGGCCTTCTGCAGCTCAGTGGTCCTGGTCCTCTCAGAAGTCAGCTCCTGGCCCAGGCCTGCCACCTGCTCCTTCAGACGACCCTCCTCCTCAGCCTTGAACACACACATTTAGTCGAAAATGTGGAGATACATGGAATGAAGTGTGTGTGTGTGTGTGTGTGTGTGACTTCTTACCTTCTTGGCATGTAGTCCTTGCAGCTCGATGACTTGGCTCTCCAGTTTCTTATTTTCCTGGTTGAAGGACCCCTGGGCTGTCCTCAGCTGTGCCTGCAGCTGCTTCACCCCCTTCTCTTTCTCTTTCAGGGCATCCTGGGTCTCAGTGTGCTGCTCTGTTAATACAGTCAGCTTCATCTTCAAACCTTTCTCTGCCTGCCAGTCAGACACAAAATGGAACCCATTGTGAGAGTACGGACAATCAGGCCTTGTAAGGTATCTGGGTCGTGTTCATTAGGGCACACCATAGCAAAACATTCACAATGGATACAAAAATGTGTGTTTCATATTGGACAAATTCAAGTAGTCCCTCCTTGTTTGTCAGTTTTCTTACATTTAGTGCCTAATGAATAGGACACTGTATTCATGTCTATGGGCTGCTTACCTCTCGGATCTTCTCCAGCTGCCCTTTGACCTCTGCCATCTCCTTGGTGGTGGCCTCTGTGGCCTTCAGCAGCTCCTGTCTGGCCATCTCATGGGACTTCTCCTGAAACAGGAAAACAGTGGAGACATTTTCTTTTTCACATTTACACAAATACACTACCAGTCAAAAGGTTGGACACCTACTCATTCAAGGGTTTTTCTTTATTTTTACATTGTAGAATAATAGTGAAGACATCAAAACTATGAAATAACATATATAATCATGTAGTAAGCAAAAAAGTGTTAAACAAATCAAAATATATTTTATATTTGAGATTCTTCAAATAGCCACCCTTTGCCTTGATGACAACTTTGCACACTCTTGGCATTCCCTCAACCAGATTCATGAGGTAGTCACCTGGAATGCATTTCAATTAATAGGTGTGCCTTCTTAAAAGTTGATTTGTGGAATTTCTTTCCTTCTTAATGCGTTTGAGCCAATCAGTTGTGTTGTGACAAGGTAGGGGTGTTTACAGAAGATAGCCCTATTTGGTAAAAGACCAAGTCCATTTTATGGCAAGAACAGCTCAAATAAGCAAAGAGAAACGACAGTCCATCATTACTTTAAGACATGAAGGTCAGTCAATACGGAACATTTCAAGAACTTTGAAAGTTTCTTCAAGTGCAGTCGCAAAAACCATCAAGATGAAACAGGCTCTCATGAGGACCGCCACAGGAAAGGAAGACCCAGAGTTACCTCTGCTCCAGAGGATAGGTTCATTAGAGTTACCAGCCTCATAAATTGCAGCCCAAATAAATGCTTCACAGAGTTCAAGTAACAGACACATCTCAACATCAACTGTTCAGAGAGGACTGTGTGAATCAGGCCTTCATGGTCGAATTTCTGCAAAGAAACCACTACTAAAGGACACCAATTAGAAGAAGAGACCTGCTTGGGCCAAGAAACACGAGCAATGGACATTAGACCGGTGGAAATTTGTCCTTTGGCCTGGAGTCCAAATTTTAGATTTTTTGTTCCAACCGCTGTGTCTTTGTGAGACGCGGTGTGGGTGAACGGATGATCTCCGCATGTGTAGTTCCCACCGTAAAGCATGGAGGAGGAGGTGTTATTGTGTGGGGGTGCTTTGCTGGTGACACTGTCTGTGATTTATTTAGAATTCAAGGCACACTTAACCAGCATGGGTACCACAGCATTCTGCAGCGACACGCCATCCCATCTGGTTTGGGCTTAGTGGGACTATCATTTGTTTTTCAACAGGACAATGACACAACACACCTCCAGGCGGTGTAAGGGCTATTTTACCAAGAAGGAGAGTGATGGAGTGCTGCATCAGATGACCTGGCCTCCACAATCACCCGACCTCAACCCAATTGAGATGGTTTGGGATGAGTTGGACCGCAGAGTGAAGGAAAAGCAGCCAACAAGTGCTCAGCATATGTGGGAACCCAGGTGAAGCTGGTTGAGAGAATGCCAAGAGTGTGCAAAGCTGTCATCAAGGCAAAGGGTGGCTATTTGAAGAATCTCACATATATAATATATTTTGATTTGTTTAACACTTTTTTGGTTACTACATGATTCCATATGTGTTATTTTATCGTTTTGATGTCTTCACTATTACTCTACAATGTAGAAAATAGTAAAAATAAAGAAAAACCCTTGAATGAGTAGGTGTGTCCAAACTTTTGACTGGTACTGTATGTACTGTTGGATTTGACCTAGTCCAGACTAAGAGACTTCTGGTGATAATACTGACACCAACACCAATTTGAGAAGAACAGGGCCCCTATTCATAAAGGGTCTCAGAGTAGGAGTGCTGATCTAGGATCCGGTCCCCCCCGTCCATGCAATCTTATTCATTGTGATCCAAAAGGCAAAACTGATCCTATATGAGCATTCCTACTCTGAGAACCGTTATGAATACAGCCCCAAGGAGCTACCGGACTCCTTCACGTTGCAGTCTGTACCTCCCACACGGAGGTCAACCATGCTACACCACACCTTCTCCTCCATAACTATCTTGCTGCTCTTCCTCTCCTTGTCCAGTTGGCTCTGGCTCTCCTTCAGGGCCTTGGAGGCTTTAGCCAGGATGTCGTTGGCCGCTGCCATCTCTTTCCCCTGGGCCTCCTTCTCCTGCTGGGCCTTCTGGAGGTCTCTGGCCAAGCCCTGGGCTTTCCTGTCCAGCTCTGCCTGCCGCGCCTGCCCCTCCTGGGCTAGCTTGTCCAGGTTGGCCTGGAGGGAAGTCTTCTCCTGCTCACAGCGCTCCAGCTGCTGCCGCGTGTCGCTCAGGGAGGCTGTCTTTCTCTTCAGCTCCTCCTGTAACACAGCAGCCCTGAGAGAAGCAGAGACTGGTCACAAAGAGTACTGGATGTGGATCAATGACCAATAAAAAGGAAATAAGCTTGGTTTATAGTCAGTGGCCAGAACCATAATTAATTCATATTTCAGGTGAACTGTCTATAGACTGCTGCGGCAATGGTCACTTTCCTTGTTGATGAGAGATGATATGTTGAACTTTGACCCTGTCATTGTGTCCGTCGGAATGGTAACCTGACTGTGACAGCATCAGAAAGCTGCACTTAACGCTTACCCGGCCTTCTCAGTCTCTAATAGGCGACCCAGCTCCTTCAGCTTTCCCTTGACCTCTGACCCCTGCTTCTGGAGCTTCTGCACTTCCTGCTGGGCCTGCTCCCTGGCCGCCCTCAGCTCCACCCCCTCCGCCTCCGCTTTCTTTAACACACGCACAGAGAACACACACACTGCCATTTCAGAGACATCACAGTGACTCTCAGTCTCTACTGCAACCCTGATACCAAGATGTGTGTATGAGCTAAACCCCCTTCATATCGTTAGAAACAAAAATCTGCACACAAAAATGTATGAAATGTGTAAAGGTAATACACACAGTACTATAAATGTACAAGAACCTCCCCTAGGAACTCCACTTGTGAGCGTGTGAGTGTAACTGACCTTGGCCCGTCCTTCCAGCTGCTCTATGCACTGTTCTGAGGTCAGTAGTTTGTCTTTGACCTCCTTCAAACTGGCCTCCAGCTGGCCACACTGCTCCCGTCTCTCCTGCAGCCTCCGGCCCTGCTCCTCTACACACGCCTGGCTCTTACTCAGCTCCTATAAGGACAGGAGAGAAGAGGCATTCCTAGGAATTCTCTTCCTTCCTTGAAGTAATCATTGACTAGATATTTGTATTTGTTTTTATTATGGATCCACTATTTCTGGGGTCCAGCAAAATGAAGGTAGTTATACATTTTAAAAACATTACAATATATTCATAACAGATTTCACAACATATTAAGTGTGTGCCCTCAGGCCTCTACTACCACATATCTATAACATAAAATACATGTGTACGTGTGTATGGTGCGTATGTTATCGTGTGTTTGTAAGCATGTGTCTATGTTTGTGTTACTTCACAGTCCCGCTGTTCCATAAGGTGTATTTGTATGTTTAAAAAAATATATCAAATTTTACTTCTGGCATGAGTTACTTGATGTGGAATAGAGTTCCATGTGGTCATGGCTCTATGTAGTACTGTGCACCTCCCATAGTCTGTTCTTGACTTGGGGACTGTGAAGAGACCTCTGGTGGCATGTCTTGTGGGGTATGCATGGGTGTCCGAGCTGTGTGCCAGTAGTTCAAACAGACAGCTCAGTGCATTCAACATGTTAATACCTCTCACAAATACAAGTAGTGATGAAGTCAATCTCTCCTCCACTTTGAGCCAGGAGAGATTGACATGCATATTAATGTTAGCTCTCTGTGTACATCCAAGGGCTAGCCATGGTGCCCTGTTCTGAGCCAATTGCAATTTTACTAAGTCCCTCTATGTGGCACCTGACCACACGACTGAACAGTAGTCCAGGTGCGACAAAACTAGGGCCTGTAGGACCTGCCTTGTTGATAGTGCTGTTAAGAATGCAGAGCAGCGCTTTATTATAGACAGACTTCTCCCCATCCTTGCTACTGTTGTATCAATATGTTTTGACTATGACAGTTTACAATCCAGGGTTACTCCAAGCAATTTAGTCTCCACATTATTCATTACAAGATTTATTTGAGGTTTAGGGTTTAGTAAATGATTTGTCCCAAATACAATGCTTTTAGTTTTTGAAATATTTAGGACTAACTTATTCCTTGCCACCCATCCTGAAACTAACTGCAGCTCTTTGTTAAGTGTTGCTGTCATTTCAGTCGCTGTGGTAGCTGACATGTATAGTGTTGAGTCATCTGCATACAGACACACTGGCGTCAGTAAAGATTGAAAAAAGTAAGGGGCCTAGACAGCTGCCCTGGGAATTCCTGATTCTACCTGGATTTTGTTGGAGAGACTTCCATTAAAGAACACCCTCTGTGTTCTGTTAGACAGGTAACTCTTTATCCACAATATAGCAGGGGGTGTAAACAGACTATGATCGATAATGTCAAAAGCCGCACAGAAGTCTAACAAAACAGCCCCCACAATCTTTTTATCAATTTCTCTCAGCCAATCATCAGTCATTTGTGTCAGTGCTGTGCTTGTTGAATGTCCTTCCCTATAAGCGTGCTGAAAGTCTGTTTTGTCAATTTGTTTGTTTACTTTAAAATATCATTTTATCTGGTCAAATAATTTTTTCTCTCCAAAAGTTTACTAAGGGTTGTTAACAGGCTGATTTGTCGGCTATTTGAGCCAGTTAAGGGGACTTTACTATTTTTAGGTAGGGGAATAACTTTTGCTTCCCTCCAGGCCTGAGGGCACACACTTTCTAGAAGGCTTAAATTGAAGATATGGCAAATAGGAGTGGCAATATCGTCCACTATTATCCTCAGTAATTTTCCATCCAGTCATTGTTGATAGACCATTTTTTTCACTTCTTCCACACTCACTTTACGGAATTCAAAATTACAATATTTGTCTTTCATAATTTGGTCAGATATACTTGGATGTGTGTGGTGTGTCAGCGTTTGTTGCTGGCATGTCATGCCTAAATCTGCTAATCTTGCCAATGAAAAAATAATTAAAGTAGTTGGCAATATCAGTGGGTTTTGTGATGAATGAGCCATCTGATTCAATGAATGATGAAGCGGAGTTCGCCTCTTTGCCCAAAATTTCATTTAAGGTGCTTCAAAGCTTTTTACTATCATTCTTTACGTCATTCATCTTTGTTTCATAGTGTAGTTTCTTCTTTTTATTCAGTTTGTCACAGGATTTCTCAATTTGCAGTACGTTTGCCAATCGGTTGTACAGCCAGACCTATTTGCAATCTCTTTTGCCTCATCCCTCTCAACCATACATTTTTTAAATTCATCAATCCAAGGGGACTTAACAGTTTTTACAGTCATTTTCTTAATGGGTGCATGCTTATTAGTAACTGGGATAAGCAATTTCATAAATGTGTCAAGTGCAGCGTCAGACCAACAAATATTATTCACATCAACAACATAGTAATCACTACAAAACTTATTGTATGACCTCTTATACACAATATTAGGCCCAGCCTTTGGAACTTTGGTTTTCCTAGGTATGTCTACTATATTGTGATCACTACATCCGATGGATTTGGATACTGCTTTCAAACAAATGTCTGCAGCATTAGTATATGATCAATACATGTTGATGATTTGATTCCTGTACTGTTGGTAACTACCCTGGTAGGTTGACTGATAACCTGAACCAGGTTGCAGGCACTAGTTACAGTTTGAAGCTCTCTCTTGAGTGGGCAGCCTGATGAAAGCCAGTCAATATTTAAATCACTCAGAAAGTATACCTCTATTGATATCACATATATTATCAAGCATTTCACACGTTATCCAGATACTGACTGTTAGCACTTGGTGGTCTATAGTAGCTTCCCACCAGAATGGGCTTTAGGTGAGGCAGGTGAACCTGTAGCCATATTACTTCAACAGTATTTCAAATAAGATCCTCTCTAAGCTTTACAGGTATGTGGTTCTGAATATAGACCGCAACATCGCCGTAATTGGCATTTCTGTCTTTTCTGTAAATGTTATAACCTTGTATTGCTACCACTGTATCATCAAAGGTATTATCTAAGTGAGTTTCAGAGATAGTCAGAATATGAATGTCATCTGTTACTGGCAAATTATTATGAACCTTGTTTCTTAAGTTACATATGTTAACGTGGGCTATTTTTAACACTTTTCTGGGAAGCTTGATAATTGTTCTTGCTTTACTGGGAAGCTTTGCAGAGGTAGACATACTTGGGTTATTTTTATTAGTGCAGGGTGAGCTGCACACAGTGGACTTCCTACTAGGGCACACCACCTCAGTGCTTACAGTATTACTCTGGTTCATAGGCACATGATTACTGCATACAATAGCTGTAGGATCAGCAGAGGCATTCAGGGCAGTTAGAGGGACATAAATTAGGTTATTTACATTGTGTGTTCCAACGCCCCTAGGAGCTGTTCTGAGCTGCCCTTCATAATGTCATTTGACCCCACATGAACCATGACAATATCAGCCCCCGGTGACTGACTCACAGCCTCGGAAATCAACCTGGTGAAATCCTGAACTTTTGCCCCAGGAAAACACAAAGTCTTTGCCCCAGGTACAGATATATGCCTCACCATCGAACTCCCTATCACAATCTCCGGAATGATCCGGCCTCTGCCGTGTCTTGAAGCAGATTGTGAGGCCAGAGCAACAGAACTCACCTGAGAAGAGGACTGCTGAGACGCCGGCTGCGTGCAGGCCACAACCGCCAATATGATATGATTGGACAAGTGAACACAAGGGCTCATCTCATGACTTTCCCCTGTACTGTCATGTCTAATCAGTGATTACTTCAAGGGAGCGAAGAAGGATGCACTTTTAAAGAATTGGAATGGGGCCTAGCACTCAGCTAGGGCATTTTGTCCTACAGACGCAGGTTTATTTGAGAAAAGATGACAATCAGTGATATATTATGTCAATAGATGGGTCTCCATTGAAGGAGTATTCTGGTAGATACTATATTCATCCAGCATGAGTATATTCTGCTGTTGTCATCCAACCTATGGCTGACCTGCTGCTTGTCCTGCAGTGCATGCTGGGCTGTCTCCAGGTGGTTCTCCAGGTCTACTCTCTGGGCTGCCTTGGCTGCCTCGGCCGACAGCAGCATCTCCGTCTTAGACTTCAACTGGGGAAACAACAAGACAACAACTTTTTTGTGCTGGAATCTGGTTGAAAGCGTAACACTCTTAACTCTGGGTCATAAACCCCCCTAGCGATGGGGGATCTATCTGTGCCCCTATTTGTATATCCCTCACTCCAGTCAATGGTAAAGGGATAGGAATAATATTTATCCATCCATCAGTCCATTGACCCTACCTGCGTGTCCAGTTGGGCCACCTTCTCCCTGCTCTCTGTCAGCTGGGCGTTCAGTTCCCCTAGAGAGGTCTCCATAGCCTGGGCTCGGTCCTGGGCTGCCCGGAGGAGGCTCTTCTGCTCCTGCACCTGCTTGTGGAGGTTGTCCTGAGCCTGCTTGTGGCTCTCCGATTGGTTCTTCAGCTTGTCTGTCAAGTGTGTGACCTATAGCCCCCAAAACAGAAAGAAAGAGAGAATTAGTTGATTAAGCTATTGTATGTTTTTACTGTGGTACATTGTATCACATCAGTAGTGTTCTTTTTAACACAACTCCTAAGCACACTAATTGAATAATACACATACACAGAACATTGTACTGCATTGTGTATGTGTGTGTGTGCACTCTGTATTAATTATGTATATGCCTGTCTGTGCATGTGTGTGTGCTTTTGCTCCTACCTGCGTCTGTAGCGTGTGGTTCTTCTCCTGCAGCTGGTTGAGCACGGCCGTCTCTCCCTCCCCAGCCTGGATCTTGGCTACCAGGTCCTCCCTCTCGGCCTCCAGCTGGCTCACGCTGTCCTTGGTCTTCTGCAGCAGGGCCTCCAGGTTCTGGATCTTCTGGTCCTTGTCACCGATCTGACGCAGCACCTGCTCCAGGTCATTCTAATAAGACAGGGACGAAGAGCCAGAGGGAGAAGAGTCAAACAAACGTGTTGTCTGAAGCACTTTCTAAATAGGAGTCCAGGGCAGGGCTCTAAAGTGCGACCAATTTGGTCGCATAGGAGACCAAATATTTTGCTGTGCGACCTTGAGTTTTAATTTGGGAGCACAGTGCAAAACAAATTATATATTTTTTATATGATAATTGTTGTAATGATAAGGCTTCACTGTACCATTGTTTCCCAAGCTCAGATTCATTAGCGTCATGCTTGCACTATTAATAAAGCGAAAACGGCTTTTTTCTAACCCAAAGAAAAAGCCATATCTCAGACTGCCCATCTTAATCTTTTTATTGGCCAGTCTGAGATATGGTTTTTTCTTTGCAACTTTGCCTAGAAGGTCAGCATCCCAGAGTCGCCTCTTCACTGTTGACGTTGAGACTGGTGTTTTGTGGGTACTATTTAATGAAGCTGCCAGTTGAGGACCTGTGAGGCGTCTGTTTCTCAAACTAGACACTAATGTATTTGTCCCCTTGCTCAGTTGTGCACCGGGGCCTCCCACTCCTCTTTCTATTCTGGTTAGAGCCAGTTTGCGCTGTTCTGTGAAGGGAGTAGTACACAGCGTTGTACGAGTTCCTTGGCAATTTCTCGCATGGAATAGCCTTCATTTCTCATAACAAGAATAGACTGACGAGTTTCAGGAGAAAGTTATTTGTTTCTGGACATTTTGAGCCTGTAATCTAACCCACAATTGCTGATGCTCCAGATACTCAACTAGTCTCAAGAAGGCCAGTTTTATTGCTTCTTTAATCAGCACTACAGTTTTCAGCTGTGCTAACATAATTGCAAAAGGGTTTACTAATGATCAATTAGCCTTTTAAAATGATAAACTTGGATTAGCAAACACAACGTGCCATTGGAACACAGGACTGATGGTTGCTGATAATGGGCCTCTGTACGCCTATGTAAATATTCCATTAAAAATCAGCAATTTTCCAGCCATTTACAACATTAACAATGTCTACACTGTATTTCTGATCAATTTGATGTTATTTTAATGGACAAAAACATTGCTTTTCTTTCGAAAACAAGGACATTTCTAAGTGACCCCAAACTTTTGAACGGTAGTGTATCTGGTACTCCTTTTATGTTGTGCTCCTAATTTATTTATTTAATATATATAGATATATATTTTTTGGAGAGCACCAGTGCTACCAATGAACATGTTTAATTTAAAGCCCCAGTGGTCCTGGGTCGTGTTCATAAGGCATCAGACAGAAAACAAATAGACGAACAGGATGGGACGACATGGACTTGTCCAATATGAAATGTTGTTTTCTGTTTTGCTAAGGTGTGCCGTATTAAATACAACCCTGTACTAATGTGTGGTGGGTTTTCTGGTGCTGAACATCACTTCACATAGGTTCTACTATACACACAGTGGAAGAGGTGAGTTATACTGACACAAAACTATTTTCTTTAAGCGCTACGTTGACATGTCTGGTAGTACCTGTGCCTCTCTGAGCTTGGTGTTGGTGTTCTGCTGCAGGCCCTGGAGCTCCTGGTGTTGCTGCTTAGCTTTCTCCAGCTGGTGCTGCAGGTCCAACGTCTTACTGCTGTTCTCCTTCAACTACAGCAGGACACACATACAGTGGTCAGTCCCAATACAGTACCTCAGTTTATGGCCTTATTCTGAAACCCCCCCACCTATAGAGACCCACTTCTACTACAGGCCAATCTATAAACAAGCTTGTGCAACAATCCCAGGTCTTCATATATCCATATACATCCTATAACAATATCGGTCTCTGTTCAACTCTACTGATCCCATAAAAATAAAAAGGGCCAATATGACTGATGCTCCACCAATCACAGGACATTGATTTGAATGTCGGTTCTAGTAATTCTATGTCTATGTGGATACCCATCCTATATGAAACTCATGTGGTGTCCCTACCTGTTCCTCTGAGCGGGACAGTTTGATCTGCAGGTCGGCGGCTTGCTGCTCGCGGTCCTTCAGTTTCTCCCCAGAGAGCTGCCTCTGCTCCTTCAGACGGCCCTGCACCTCCCCCAGCTGACGCTCCGCCTCCAGGAGCTTAGCATGTAGCTACAACACAGAGGAGTAGGAGGAAGAGGGGGAGTAGGAGGAAGAGGGGGAGTAGGAGGAAGAGGGGGAGTAGGAGGAAGAGGGGGAGTAGGAGTAGGAGGAAGAGGGGGAGTAGGAGGAAGAGGGGGAGTAGGAGGAAGAGGGGGAGTAGGAGGAAGAGGGGGAGTAGGAGGAAGAGGGGGAGTAGGAGGAAGAGGGGGAGTAGGAGAAAGAGGGGGAGTAGGAGGAAGAGGGGGAGTAGGAGGAAGAGGGGGAGTAGGAGGAAGAGGTAGGCTGACAATTGATCAAAGACTGAGTGTCTGAGTTTGTTAGATGTGCATGTGTGTCTCACCTGTATGTGTGTGTGACCTGTTTGTGCGTGTGCTGATGTGTGTGCGGGTGTGTGTGTGTGTGTGTGAAGGTGAATGTGTGTGTGGTTGACCTGTGTGTGCACGTGCGTGTGTGTGTTTCACCTCTGTGTGTCTGACCTGTGTACGTGTGTGTGTGCACGGCCGTGTGTGTTTGTGCGCATGTCTGTCTGTCTGTCCTGTGTGTGGGTTTCTGACATGCGTGTGTGTCTGACATGTGTGTGCGTGCCCGTGTCACTACTAACCTGGCTGATCTCACTCTGCTGCGCCAGGCCCTGGCTCTCCCTCTCCTCCCTCTGCTGCTGTAGCTGCTTCCTCTCCACCTTCACCTCACCATGCTTGGCCTCCAGCTCAGCCACCTCCTTCCGGAGCCTCCCTGCCTCCTCCCCCTTCTCCCCCAGCTCTGCTTGGGCTCTCTGCAGGCTGGCTTCAGCCCCTGCTGCCCGGGCCTGGAGCTCTTGCACCTCCAGCTCCGTCTGGTGCAGGCTAGCCTGGGCTGTCTTGTTGGAGGCCTGCTCAGCCCCCAGGCAGTCCTCCAGCTCCTGGAACTCCTTCTCCCTGCGCCCAAGCTTCTCTGAAAGCCTCTGGGGGAGGGAACCAGAGGGGGAATAGTGATTAGTGATTATGGTCCTGTGTAACTCCCTTGGTAAGAGTACGGCGCTAGCAACGCCAAGGTTGCGGGTTCAATTCCGGGCAGGGATCATCACAAACGCAAGTTGCTTTGGATAAAAGAGTCTGCTAAATGGCCTACAGGTTGTGAAGAGAACTTTAGTTTCAGAATGTTTTGAAAGACAGAAATGGATACTCCGAACCGATTAGCATGAGGGGCGATCTGCTAGAGGGCATATGAACCTTCCCTCTTCTGATTGAGGTCATGTGTTATGGAAAGTATTATACACACCCTTAGAATAGTTGCTGTTGGGAGATGTTTACCAAAGTGAGGATATGAGGATTCATTTAATAGGAGTCTAATTAACAGCTCAGTTCCCAATTGGCAAAACAAAATGTGCAGATGCCATCTCACGTATCATAGTGATGTTGGTCGTTCAACCTCTGAAAATAACACAGCATCCTTACAGACCTGCATGCAAGGCAGAGCGGTGAGGGGGGGGGGGGGGGGGAAATTATATTTCTGAGCACATGTTTTACGAAAGGTACTTGAATTCCGGGGTGTGTGTGTCTCTGACATGTATGTGACTGTGTGTAGTAAACTTGGCACAAGGGCGATGAAAGAATACAACGTTGTTAATGACAGTGCTGCTAAGTGGGGGATGTGACAAGGACATAATACATCCCACACACAGATCCTTTTTCCCCTCCACTCTCCGGTCCTCCTCCTGTCCCACAGCAGCTGTGGCTCCATCTCTCCCTCTCTTCTTTCAACACCTCTGTCCATCCTTTTCCTTCCAATGTCCTTGTTTAAACCTTTGTTTGTCTCTCCCTCAATTGTCTCTCTCCATCTACTGTCTTTATGCATCTTTTATTTGGACATTTCCCCCCCTCTCTCTGTTTCCGTCTTTCTATCCACTGTACCGCTCTCTCTCTCTAGTATCTACCTCTTCTCTCTATTTTTACCCAACTCTCCTCTCTCTGTTCAACCAATACATCCCATTTAATTTCCACGTTGTGGGTGGTCCTAGAAGCGCATGTGTGTATCCAGTCTCCATGCAGACAGACTGATTTACATTTCATTTATTTATACTCTATTTAACCAGGGAAGTCACATTGAGATTCTATTTTTTTTGTGGAAGGTCTGTGGTGGGCTAACTTCCATGGTGGGCTACCTCTCTAATCACCCCTCTCTCCCAGACACCTACTTGGGGAATGGAGAGCAGCTGTGCCGGCAGCACGACTAACACGGTTGACACAGGGGGGCTTTAAGGGCCGTTGTTGGGGTTGCCAGAGAGTTTAAAGCTAAAAAGCCACACTGGCGCATCACTGCGGTTACCTGCGATCGTATTTCAGCCCAAAGTGACGGGTTGCCAGGGCAGGGGTATGGCAGATATGAACCACTGCTGGTTTAATTATAGGCCTGTGTGTGTGTTTTGTCAACATGTCGATGTTGCCAATGCACGCTCATCTCAGGCTGGTGACAGCAGAGCACTGTGATGAGACGGTGGTATATGAGGCGGCTGGGTTAATTAAGAGACTAAAATAATGGCCTGGCAAGGCTGGCATGTTTTAGCAAATGGCAGTTGGCATGGATTGTACAAATTACTGCAGTCACAGTAAATTGGGTACTACGTGTCTATTGCTATTTCGTGTAGCACATCCTACAGTGGAAGCGTGAGTGTTTGTATTTGTGTTTCATCTGTTGTTAGGATTGTAAAGCTGTTAAACGATCAAAGTGTCTTAACGGGAGGGGAATTTGTGATGGTGGTGACATGGACTGATGGAGCATCGATTCAACTATGGGAGGGGAAGTACTAGTTGTTGGTGTGTGTGTGTGTGTGTGTGTTAGAGAGACCTGGCTCTGTTGCTGCAGGTTGATCAGAGACGTCTGTAGTTGGTGGATCTGCTGGGTGTACACTGCTGCCTCCTGAGGTCCCTTCTCTAGCTCTGCCTTCAGCTGGGAGATGGTCATCTGGAACACACACAACATCAATGTGAGACACTTTACTTTGTATACATGAAAAAAACATTCACAAATCATGTGCTAGATTCTGGTCGAGTGGTCAACGCTCCAGACTCAGGAGGACTTCACATACCCACTGGCGATGGGGGTTTAAGCACAGTCTTGGGAATCTTATACAGAATGCTTTTTTTATGGAATTTTAAAACATACAATCAATCTACCTGCAGTGAAGCCGCTCAACATTTACCTTACGTTCAGTCATCTAGCAGACACTACCATCCAGAGTGACAGATCTCCCACCAAGTCAAATCGGGGACCCGAACCAGCGACCTCTCGGCCACCGGCCCAAGCTCCCAACCGCCAGGCCACCAACCCCCCCCCACAGTTCCCCCAAGTGCTGCCCCGCAACATATACATATACATATACATATACGTCATTTAGCAGACGCTCTTATCCAGAGCGACTTACATGAGCAATTAGGGTTAAGTGCCTTGCTCAAGGGCACATCGGCAGATTTTTCACCTAGTCGGCTCGGGGATTAGAACCAGCGACCTTTCGATAACTGGCACAACGCTCTTAACCACTAAGCTACCTGCCGCCCCTCGCAACCATCCGAGACCACCACCCCCCCACGAAAAACCTCCCCCTCCACTCCCCACCCCCACCCTCAAGCCACTGTCCCCCTCCAATCCAACCAAAACAACCAGCCATCTAATGCGCCAACAACCAACAAAAATAACAAATGAGAAAAAATTGAAAACAAAGCAAAAAACATAAAGGACAACAACAATCTAAACAGCAAGGCCAACTCTATGGGTTAGAGTGCATGTGTGGCACTATTTACATGTGTGTATGTCCGTGTGTGTGCACATGTGTGCGTTTGAATGAGTGTGTGTGTATGCATCAGCCTCAGGCAAACAGGCATTGGATGTAACAGCGTTCCCCCTCAGTGTCATTCAAACATACTTTTAAAAAACGTGTATCTTTGACCATCATTCTACCCCCTGCCCAGCAACTCCACCCCCACTTGTCTCAAGTTCCACATCCCAACCTTCAGTTTCCCCTCAATTCACCCCACCTATCTCCGCTGGCCACCCGCGCCATATACACTATATATACAAAGGTATGTAGACACCCCTTGAAATTAGTGGATTCGGCTATTTCATCCACACCCGTTGCGGACAGGTGTATAAAATCAAGCAAATAGCCATAAAATCCTCCATAGACAACCATTGGCAGTAGAACAGTGACTTTCAACGTGGCACCGTCATAGGATGCCACCTTTCCAACAAGTCAGTTCGTCAAGTTTCTGCCCTGCTAGAGCTGCCCCGGTCAACTGTAAGTGTTTTTTTATTTCACCTTTATTTAACCAGGTAAGCCAGTTGAGAACAAGTTCTCATTTACAACTGCGACCTGGCCAAGATAAAGCAAAGCAGTGCGATAAAAACAACAACACAGAGTTACATATGGGGTAAAACAAAACATTAAGTCACAAATACAACAGAAAATATATATACAGAGTGTGCTAATGTAGCAAGTTATGAAGGTAAGGCAATAAATAGGCCATAGTGCAAAATAATTACAATTAGTATTAACACTGGAATGATAGATGTGCAAGAGATGATGTGCAAATAGAGATACTGGGGTGCAAATTAGCAAAATAAATAACAATATGGGGATGAGGTTTTTGGTTGGGCTAATTTCAGATGGGCTGTGTACAGGTGCAGTGATCGGTGAGGTGCTCTGACAACTGATGCTTAAAGTTAGAGAGGGAGATAAGAGTCTCCAGCTTCAGAGATTTTTGCAGTTCGTTCCAGTCATTGGCAGCAGAGAACTGGAAGGAATGGCGGCCAAAGGAGGTGTTGGCTTTGGGGATGACCAGTGAGATATACCTGCTGGAGCGCATACTAGGGGTGGGTGTTGCTATGGTGACCAATGAGCTAAGATAAGGCAGGGATTTGCCTAGCAGTGATTTATAGATGGTCTGGAGCCAGTGGGTTAGGCGACGAATATGTAGTGAGGACCAGCCAACAAGAGCGTACAGGTCACAGTGGTGGGTAGTATATGGGGCTTTGGTGACAAAACGGATGGCACTGTGATAGACTACATCCAATTTGCTGAGTAGAGTGTTGGAGGCTATTTTGTAAATCGGTAGGATAGTCAGTTTTACGAGGGCATGTATGGCAGCATGAGTGAAGGAGGCTTTGTTGCGAAATAGGAAGCTGATTCTAGATTTAACTTTGGATTGGAGATGCTTATTGTGAGTCTGGAAGGAGAGTTTACAGTCTAACCAGACACCTAGGTATTTGTAGTTGTCCACATACTCTAGGTCAGACCCGTCGAGAGTAGTGATTCTAGTCGGGTGGGCGGGTGCCAGCAAAGTTCAATTGAAGAGCATGCATTTAGTTTTACTAGTGTTTAAGAGCAGTTGGAGGCTACAGAAGGAGTGTTGTATGGCATTGAAGCTCGTTTGGAGGTTTGTTAACACAGTGTCCAATGAAGGGCCAGATGTATACAAAATGGTGTCGTCTGCGTAGAGGTGGATCTGAGAGTCACCAGCAGCAAGAGCGACATCATTGATATACACGGAGAAAAGAGTCGGCCCAAGAATTGAACCCTGTGGCACCCCCATAGAGACTGCCATAGGTCCAGACAACAGGCCCTCCGATTTGACACTTTGAACTCTATCTGAGAAGTAGTTGGTGAACCAGGCGAGGCAGTCATTTGAGAAACCAAGGCAATTTAGTCTGCCAATAAGAATGTGGTGGTTGACAGAGTCGAAAGCCTTGGCCAGGTCGATGAAGACAGCTGCAGAGTACTGTCTATTATCGATTGTGGTTATAATATCGTTTAGGACCTTGAGTGTGGCTGAGGTGCACCCATGACCAGCTCGGAAACCGGATTGCATAGCGGAGAAGGTACGGTGTGATTCGAAATGGTCGGTGATCTGTTTGTTAACTTGGCTTTCAAATACTTTCGAAAGGCAGGGCAGGATGGATATAGGTCTGTAACAGTTTGGATCTAGAGTGTCACCCCCTTTGAAGAGGGGGATGACCGCGGCAGCTTTCCAATCTCTGGGGATCTCAGACGTTACGAAAGAGAGGTTGAACAGGCTAGCAATAGGGGTTGCGACAATTTCGGCGGCTAATTTTAGAAAGAAAGGGTCCAGATTGTCTAGCCCATATGATTTGTAGGGGTCCAGATTTTGCAGCTCTTTCAGAACATCAGCTGTCTGAATTTGTGTGAAGGAGAAGCGGGGGGGCATGGACAAGTTGCAGCGGAGGGTGCAGAGTTGGTGGCCGGGGTAGTGGTAGCCAGGTGGAAAGCATGGCCTGCCGTAGCAAAATGCTTGTTGAAATTCTCGATTATTGTAGATTTATCGGTGGTGATAGTGTTTCCTAGTGTCAGTGCAGTGGGCAGCTGGGAGGAGGTGCTCTTATTCTCCATGGACTTTACAGTGTCCCAAAACTTTTTGGAGTTAGTGCTACAGGATGCAAATTTATGTTTGAAAAAGTTAGCCTTTGCTTTCCTAACTGCTTGTTCCTAACTTCCCTGAAAAGTTGCATATCGCGGGGGCTATTCGATGATAACAGGATGTTTTTGTGCTGGTCAAGGGCAGTCAAGCCTGAGGAGAACCAGGGGCTATATCTGTTCTTAGTTCTGCATTTTTTGAATGGGGCATGCTTATTTAAGATTGAGAGGAAAGCACTTTTAAAGAACAACCAGGCATCCTCTACTGACGGAATGAGATCGATATCCATCCAGGATACCTGGGCCAGGTCAATTAGGAAGGCCTGCTCGCTAAAGTGTTTTAGGGAGCGTTTGACAGTGATGAGGGGTGGTCGTTTGACCGCGGACACAGGCAATGAGGCAGTGATCGCTGAGATCCTGGTTGAAGACAGCGGAGGTGAATTTAGAGGGTAAGTTAGTCAGGATGATATCTATGAGGGTGCCCATGTTTACGGATTTAGTGCTGTTATTGTGAAGTGGAAACGTCTAGGAGCAATAACGGCTCAGCCGCGAAGTGGTAGTCCACACAAGCTCACAGAACGGGACCTGCGAGTGCTGAAGCAAGTAGCGCGAAAAAATCTTCTGTCCTCGGTTACAACACTCACTACCGAGTTCCAAACTGCCTCTGGAAGCAATGTCAGCACAATAACTGTTCGTTGGGAGCTTCATGAAATGGGTTTCCATGGCCGAGCAACCGCACACAAGCCTAAGATCAAAATGCGCAATGCCAAGCGTCAGCTGGAGTGGGGTAAAGCTCGTCGCCATTGGACTCTGGAGCAGTGGAAACACGTTCTCTGGAGTGATGAATAACGCTTCACCATCTGGCAGTCCGACTGACGAATCTGGGTTTGGCGGATGCCAGGTGAACGCTACAGCATACAATGACATTCTAGACGATTCTGTGCTTCCAACTTCGTGGCAACGGTTTGGGGAAGGCCCTTTCCTGTTTCAGCATGACAATGACCCTGTGCACAAAGCGAGGTCCATACAGAAATTGTTTGTCGAGATCGGTGTGGAAGAACTTGACTGGCCTGCGCAGAGCCCTGACCTCAACCCTATCGAACACCTTTGGAAAGAATTGGAAGGCCGACTGCGAGCCAGGCCTAATCACCCAACATCCGTGCCCGACCTCACTAATGCTCGTGACTGAATGGAAGCAATTGCCCACAGCAATGTTCCAACATCTAGTAGAAAGCCTTCCCAGAAGAGTGGAGGCGGTTATAGCAGGAAAGGGGAGACCAACTCCATTGTAATGCTCATGACTTTGTAATGATATGTTCGATGAGCAGGTGTCCACATACTTTTGGTCATGTAGTGTATCTTTCAACTATGCTGTGATGTTTAACATACAATTTGAATCTATCTAATCGAATAGAATCCACAGACTGCAAGTTGAAGGTAAATACTTTAACTAAGAGTATTAGTAATTGACAGACCAGGTCTCTCCAAATCTCCCAACAATGCTATTTCTAGGGTCAATTTTAGACTAATGTTATGCTTTTTCAGCCATTTCTGAACCTGAGACCAGAAACAGGCTATCTGAGGGCAATACCAGAACAAAAGGTCCATTGATTCTGTATCCTCGCAACAAAATCTGCAGAGCTGCGATGATTGTATGCCCCAAATATTTAACATTTTCTTGGTGGCAAGAATTCTGTACAATAATTTCTGTACAAGAAGTCTTGAATCTTGCGTCGTTTTATATATCAAGTCATTCACCCTGTGCCACTGAATCCGTACATCAAAAATCTCTTCCCAGCTATTTTGATATCTGTATGGCACGGCTGTAAACATCCAGGTCCTTAAATGAAACTGGTATACTTTCCTATTTATGCTATTTTTGTTCCTCTGCCAGTTTTGATCCTTTATATTGGTCAGTCAGACCAGTTCCCTACCTCCTCCCGCTGCCACCCCCATTTTTGGGATAATGCTGTAATCAATTGGTTGTAATCTTGGATTGAGCAGACCTTCCCATCCAATTCCGATAGCTTCATGAAATACCTAACTCTACCATTCCAATTTACAACATCATGTAAAAACAAAATACAATTTTCAAACATATTTTCTATTAATACAGGTCTTTTTTCAACAAGCACATTTGAGTTCAACCCTAATATTTGTTGTTGTCAATTAATCGGAAAAGAGACATGGCAATCTGCACAAAGGCAAAAAGGCCGTTTTTAAACAAGGGATGAGCTTTTGTTAGTAATCTACTTGAGAACCATTTTGGGTTCAAGTAAAACTTTTAAATAAGTGAAGTTTTGAGAGAGAGGTTTAGTGCTTTTATATTAAATAATCTCTGCCCACCCAGTTCATAATAATTATATAGATAGGCACGCTTTATCCTGTCTGGTTTAGCATTCCAGATAAAGCGAAATATTTTTTGCTCATATGATTTGAAAAACGAATAATCAGGAGTTAAATCAGTGTCATTTTTCCATAAATAGACAGGTATTTACCTCTCCATGGTTGCAGGATCTTGTCTATTTTTACTAGTTTTCTACTGAAATTCATTGTGGAGAGATCATTTATACATTTTGTGATATGAACACCAAGTATGTCTACTTCACCGTCAGCCCATTTTATAGGTAAACTGCAGGGTAATGTAAAAGTTGTGTTCTTTTTAAAGATCCAATACGTAATATGGTACACTTATCATAATTAGGTTTTAGTCCAGAGGCCAGAAGAGTTATCTTGATCTTCAATGAGACATTGCAGGGATCTAGCTTGCAGACTTGACTCATTGGCATACATGGACACCTTTGTTTTTAAGCCTTGGATTTCTAATCCTCTGTTATTTGATCTGATTTTAATAGCTAGCATTTCGATGGCCATAACGAATAGATATGGTGACAGCGGACACCCTTGTTTAACTCCTCTTGACAGTTCAAAACTCTGAGAAGTAGACGCTATTTACTATTTTACACCTGGGGTTGCTATACATTACTTTTACCCATTGAATAAGAGACTCACCAACATTGAAAAGAATCCAGCCATTTATACATACAATTCTGTCTTACTTTATCAAAGGCCTTTTCAAAATCCGCTATTAATAACTAGGCCTGGTTTCTTAGATGTTTCATGTTGTTCTACTATTTCTAGTAGTTGTTGTATATTATCACAAATATATCATCCATGTGAAAAACTGAGTGCTATGTATTTCGCTAGTATTTTTGCAACACAACATTTAAGTTTAAGAGGCCTCCAGTTTAAAATCTTTATATTTGTTTTAATAATAGTATATTTGTTTTAATAATAGTGAAATCAGACCTTCCTGCTGAGTACCTGACATAACTACTCCTATAGAAATGGTAGTAAAACAAGCTAATAATGGAGCTTTGAGTATATCAAAAAAAGATTGATTTACCTCTACCGGTAAGCTATCAAGCCCTGGGTTTTTTCCAGGCTGAAAGGATTTAAATGGCTCCAAAAGTTATTCCTCTGTAATTTGGCCTTCGCACTGATATTGTGCATTTGTAAATAAAATGTAATAAAAAATAAATACATTTGAAAGAATTCCTTACAGTAATCGTCATTCAGAGGGCGAGGAGACAGAAAAGAAAACATCTGTTTAAAATACACTGCTTAAAAAAATAAAGGGAACACTTAAACAACACAATGTAACTCCAAGTCAATCACACTTCTGTGAAATCAAACTGTCCACTTAGGAAGCAACACTGACAATACATTTCACATGCTGTTGTGCAAATGGAATAGACAACAGGTGGAAATTATAGGCAATTAGCAAGACACCCCCAATAAAGGACTGGTTTTGCAGGTGGTGACCACAGACCACTTCTCAGTTCCTATGCTTCCTGGCTGATGTTTTGGTCACTTTTGAATGCTGGCGGTGCTTTCACTCTAGTGGTAGCATGAGACGGAGTCTACAACCCACACAAGTGGCTCAGGTAGTGCAGCTCATCCAGGATGGCACATCAATGCGAGCTGTGGCAAGAAGGTTTGCTGTGTCTGTCAGCGTAGTGTCCAGAGCATGGAGGCGCTACCAGGAGACAAGCCAGTACATCAGGAGACGTGGAGGAGGCCGTAGGAGGGCAACAACCCAGCAGCAGGACTGCTACCTTCGCCTTTGTGCAAGGAGGAGCAGGAGGAGCACTGCCAGAGCCCTGCAAAATGACCTCCAGCAGGCCACAAATGTGCATGTGTCTGCTCAAACGGTCAGAAACAGACTCCATGAGGGTGGTATGAGGGCCCGACGTCCACAGGTGGGGGTTGTGCTTACAGCCCAACACCGTGCAGGACGTTTGGCATTTGCCAGAAAACACCAAGATTGGCAAATCCGCCACTGGCGCCCTGTGCTCTTCACAGATGAAAGCAGGTTCACACTGAGCACGTGACAGACGTGACAGAGTCTGGAGACGCCGTGGAGAACATTCTGCTGCCTGCAACATCCTCCAGCATGACCGGTTTGGCGGTGGGTCAGTAATGGTGTGGGGTGGCATTTCTTTGGGGGGCCGCACAGCCCTCCATGTGCTCGCCAGAGGTAGCCTGACTGCCATTAGGTACCGAGATGAGATCCTCAGACCCCTTGTGAGACCATATGCTGGTGCGGTTGGCCCTGGGTTCCTCCTAATGCAAGACAATGCTAGACCTCATGTGGCTGGAGTGTGTCAGCAGTTCCTGCAAGAGGAAGGCATTGATTCTATGGACTGGCCCGCCCGTTCCCCAGACCTGAATCCAATTGAGCACATCTGGGACATCATGTCTCGCTCCATCCACCAACGCCACGTTGCACCACAGACTGTCCAGGAGTTGGCGGATGCTTTAGTCCAGGTCTGGGAGGAGATCCCTCAGGAGACCATCCGCCACCTCATCAGGAGCATGCCCAGGCGTTGTAGGGAGGTCATACAGGCACGTGGAGGCCACACACACTACTGAGCCTCATTTTGACTTGTTTTAAGGACATTACATCAAAGCTGGATCAGCCTGTAGTGTGGTTTTCCACTTTAATTTTGAGGGTGACTCCAAATCCAGACCTCCATGGGTTGATACATTTGATTTCCATTGATAATATTTGTGTGATTTTGTTGTCAGCACATTCAACTATGTAAAGAAAAAAGTATTTAATAAGATTATTTCATTAATTCAGATCTAGGATGTGTTATTTTAGTGTTCCCTTTATTTTTTTTTAGCAGTGTATTTAGCTTCCTCTTAAAATATCATTTTGGAGAATCATGGATAACTCCATCTTTAGCAATGAGTTTTTGCAAATTATTTTTGGTAGCGTTCCTATGTTGAAGATTCAGGAAGATTTTTTTTTTACATCCAGTTTGCTTTATTTTTGTAATTGATTACATTAGATCGTTGTTGAATAAGTTCCTCCAGTTCTTTTTGTTTTTCCTCTAACTTGTTTTGGATCTCTGTAGTATGGTTTTTATTGCTATCTACCTGTACTGTTAGTTCCTGTATTTCCCTTGTTAGTCTTGTCTCTTTAGACAGAAACTGCTTTTTCTTTACTGATGAATATTGAATTGAATGAACTCTGAAAGGTACAGTACATTTAAAGGTATCCCAAACAATAAGGGGATTTTCTGAACAACTAATGTACTGGAATAATTCAGTTAAAGTATTTTGGTCTTAGTTAAGCATAAATTGTCCTCCAGTAGACTTTGATTATATTTCCAATATCCCAGTCCAAAAGGAAATTCTGTAAGAGTAATGTGAAGGCCAATTAGATAATGGTCCGATCCCTTCTGTCTCCTACCAATACTTTTTTAACCTTTGATGCAAGAGAGAAAGAGACAAGAAAGTAGTCAAGACGACTAGCTTGATTAAGTCTCCTCCATGTATATCTCACTAGGTCAGGGTTTTTTAGTCTCCAAATATCCACTATTTCTAATGTGTCCATTATATTTGTGATCACCTTAAGTGCATGGTGATAGTTTGTAGAGTGATTTCCTTTACGGTTCATTGATATACTTAACTCTGGTGTTAGTCTCCCACCATAAATGGTTTGATCGCTTGTTGCCTGTAAATTCAATAGATTGGTATATACATATTTTTGAAGAAGTGTGGATCATCCTTATTTAGACCATATTAGATTAATGAGCCAAGTCTGTTTTTACATCCATTTTCATATTCAAAAGGGTCCACCTTCCTTGCGGATCATTCCTGACTGTTTGCACATTCGGATCGGCATTTTTGTTAATTAGTATCATCACACCTTTTGAGTTCCTTTGTCCATGACAGAAAATTATTTCACCACCCCATTCCTTTTTCCACGCAACTTAATCTAAAAAGATGTAGAGTGAGTTTCCTGTAAACAGTATATGTTATATTCCTTTTCTTTTAGCCACATAAAGACTGATTGTTCTTATAATCTGCTAAAATATTACAATTATAACTGGCTATACTTATTTCACTCTTTACCATAACTAGATAATATTCTCAATCTAAATTTAAAATAATTAGCACTTGTAAAACTACTGCCATAAGAGGTATGATGACGGTCAAAATTAATGATTTCAAATGTCTGATGTTTAGAATTCAAGAAAAAGGTTCAAGCAATATGCACAAAGCAACTGGTGTTTTCATGTTCTTTTTGTTCTCTTTTTTTTGTAATTTGTTTTATATTTTATTATTGCCTGTTTGCCTGTGAGCCAATGCCACAGATGTTAGAAAATTGAGTCAAGATATTATGTGTGTAGTAGATCTGAGTAGGTTGACGTGTGTGATATTGGATGTGATTTAGTGAGAGTGTGTATGATGTCTGGATTATGGCTGTGGCGGTCACGAAATTTCATCAGCGGGTGATTGTCAAGCAAATAACTGTTGGTCTTACGGTAATTGACCGTTAATTAACATAAACACATTTAGCATCTCCTGGCTTCCACACATAGCCTACAAGCCACTGATGCAGACCTTTGGAACATCTACAGTCGTGGTCAAAAGTTTTGAGAATGATACAAGTATTGGTCTGGGGAGTTTCCTGGCCATGGACACAAAATGTCTATGTTTTGTTCCCCGAGCAACTTAGTTATCACTTTTGCCTTATGGCAAGGTGCTCCATCATGCTGGAAAAGGCATTGGTCGTCACCAAACTGTTCTTGGATGGTTGGGAGAAGTTGCTCTCGGATGATGTGTTGGTACCATTCTTTATTCATGGCGGTGTTCTTAGGCAAAATTGTGAGTGAGCCCACTCCCTTGGCTGAGAAGCAACCCCACACATGAATGGCCTCAGGATGCTTTACTGTTGGCATGACACAGGACTGATGGTAGCGCTCACCTTGTCTTCTCCGGACAAGGTGTTTTCCGGATGCCCCAAACAATCGGAAAGGGGATTCATCAGAGAAAATTACTTTACCCCAGGCTCAGCAGTCCAATCCCTGTACCGTTTGCAGAATATCAGTCTGTCCCTGATGTTTTTCCTGGAGAGAAGTGGCTTCTTTGCTGCCCTTCTTGACACCAGGCCATCCTCCAAAAGTCTTTGCCTCACTGTGCGTGCAGATGCACTCGTACCTGCCTGCTGCCATTCCTGAGCAAGCTCTGCACTGGTGATGCCCCGATCCCGCAGCTAAATCAACTTTAGGAGACGGTCCTGGCGCTTGCTGGATTTCTTGGGCGCCCTGACGCCTTCTTCACAACAATTGAACCTCTCTCCTTGAAGTTCTTGATGATCCGATAAATGGTTGATTTAGGTGCAATCTTACTAGCAGCAATATCCTTGCCTGTGAAGCCCTTTTTGTGCAAAGCAATGATGACAGCACGTGTTTCCTTGCAGGTAACCATGGTTAACAGAGGAAGAACAATGATTTCAAGCACCACCCTCCTTTTAAAGCTTCCAGTCTGTTATTAGTCTCCAGCAGGTAGCTTAGTGGTTAAGAGCGTTGTGCCAGTAACCGAAAGGTCGCTGGTTCTAATCCCCAAGCCGACTAGGTGAAAAATCTGTCGATGTGCCCTTGAGCAAGGCACTTAACCCTAATTGCTCCTGTAAATCGCTCTGGATAAGAGCGTCTGCTAAATGACTAAAAATGTAAAAATGTAAATGTTATTCTAACTCAATCAGCATGACAGAGTGATCTCCAGCCTTGTCCTCGTCAACACTCTTTTCATGGCAAAGATGGACTTTGCAATTCATCTGATCACTCTTCATGACATTATGGAGTATATGCAAATTGGCATCATCAAAACTGAGGCAGCAGACTTTGTGAAAATTAGTATTTGTGTCATTCTCAAAACCTTTGACAACGACTGTACATTTTAAAAAGTCTAATAAATCAATGTAATAGCCTACACCTTCGCAATAAATCCATTATTTATTTTAGACAGGTCTAAAGAAGCATGATATGAAGAAAATGTAGTCTATTTCAGAAGAACAAAATAGCATACTATGAGTTGTCCTTATGTTAGGTCTTGATCTGGCTATGCCAAATGGCTGTGAGCTACACTAGTTCATTTAGCAGATAAGATTTGCTTAGAATTCCATGGCATTATTTTATAGTATGAAGAATACAATTGAACAAAGCTGAATAAAATAGAAAGGATATTTCCTCCAAACGATTTGAGGGAGTGCGCACATGCGGCTATTCTGTGTTGAGTGGTTAACAAAGAAATAGGTATTCCTATATGCTTAATTTAGAGTTATTAATGTAACTTTAGTTGTTCTACAAACGTTGGGCTATATGTTTTGATTTTTAATACATTGTAAGGCTGCATGATGCGACTAATAATGATTTGAAAAAAGTCGCTTGAAAAGGCATGAGCTCTGCTTTGTTTTTTTCCGCAGGCTGTACACACTTCATCAGTCACTCATTCACAATTTGACAAGCACTTGATAATGCCTAGAATTTCACGGCGGCAGCCCTTTGTGTGGCCGTAATGCACCCTAAAAAAAGACATGACCTTCCCCCTGAGTGCTGCGCGCTCGGAAGCACCTCTTACTCACATTGCTCTCCATCGCGTGATCGGGTCTTTCTCACAGGCTACAAGTGAAGACAGACACATCGGGGATGCAACTGCGTGTGTCCTTATCCAATTCCGAGGTGCATATTGAAGATATTGGAAGAACTGTCCACATTTACTTTTCGTCAGCCAACAAGATGAGTAGGCCTAACGAACAGCAAAAGCACTAGCCTTGTCAATCTACTATCCCCCGTACCTACAAAAGTCGACCTATTCTATTCTGTGCGATAAATAAATATTCCAAACATAGTCTGGGACAGTTGTGGGATGCGATAGATACCAAATTAATACAACCACTAGCATCAAAAAAACTTTTTTACGCAATGTGGCTGACGCAACCGATCAGAACGTTTAGCTTAAAAGATCAACTATTAGGCTATTTCTTTACATTATAAGCACAGCAATGCGCACATGGCAGTATGCTATAAGCGCAAATGTTCCATTAGCTGTTAAACACCATTATCAAAAGTGACCGCAAATGCAATTATGCATGAAATGCTTTTATTATAAAGGTGCATTTTTATGGTGAAAATTATCTTCCCCAAACTTGAAACTCACATGCTGCTTACATATGCCAGTTAGGCTCTACACCCCTTGTAAAGGTTAAATAATACTTTTAAAAAACATATAGGCCTATGGGCTAGGCTACATGAGGTGTGCGACCATGATTCGAAAAAAGTCGGGAAAAAAAAGGAATTGTTTCTTATGCTGGGCATCATTCACAAGTGATAACATATAATTCACAATTGATAGGCTAATATTGTCACCCATCAGACTATTCTTGATTTAATCTTGTCTTTGCATATACTAAATAATATGTGTGTGAAATTGTTTTGATTTAGAATGAACCATTATCATGCACCTGTATCAAAACAGGGGCAGCGGGAAAAAATACGTAATCTATGCACTTAAATAGCAAATGGAGGACGCTTTTCCCGTGGTTCATTTTCATGCCAGTCAGGTAGGCTATACTCCAGTTGTAAATATAAGCAATGTGCTTAATATTAGGAAAGTTTAGAAATATATACAGTGAGGGAAAAAAGTATTTGATCCCCTGCTGATTTTGTACGTTTGCCCACTGACAAAGAAATGATCAGTCTATAATTTTAATGGTAGGTTTATTTGAACAGTGAGAGACAGAATAACAAAGAAATCCAGAAAAACGCATGTCAAAAATATTATGAATTGATTTGCATTTTAATGAGGGAAATAAGTATTTGACCCCTCTGCAAAACATGACTTAGTACTTGATGGCAAAACCTTTGTTGGCAATCACAGAGGTCAGACGTTTCTTGTAGTTGGCCACCAGGTTTGCACACATCTCAGGAGGGATTTTGTCCCACTTTGCAGATTTTCTCCAAGTCATTAAGGTTTCGAGGCTGACATTTGGCAACTCGAACCTTCAGCTCCCTCCACAGATTTTCTATGGGATTAAGGTCTGGAGACTGGCTAGGCCACTCCAGGACCTTAATGTGCTTCTTCTTGAGCCACTCCTTTGTTGCCTTGGCCATGTGTTTTGGGTCATTGTCATGCTGGAATACCCATCCACGACCCATTTTCAATGCCCTGGCTGAGGGAAGGAGGTTCTCACCCAAGATTTGATGGTACACGGCCCGGTCCATCGTCCCTTTGATGCGGTGAAGTTGTCCTGTCCCCTTAGCAGAAAAACACCCCCAAAGCAAATGTTTCCACCTCCATGTTTGACGGTGGGGATGGTGTTCTTGGGGTCATAGGCAGCATTCCTCCTCCTCCAAACACGGCGAGTTGAGTTGATGCCAAAGAGCTCGATTTTGGTCTCATCTGACCACAACACTTTCACCCAGTTCTCCTCTGAATCATTCAGATGTTCATTGGCAAACTTCAGACGGGCCTGTATATGTGCTTTCTTGAGCATGGGGACCTTGCGGGCGCTGCAGGATTTCAGTCCTTCACAGCGTAGTGTGTTACCAATTGTTTTCTTGGTGACTATGGTCCCAGCTGCCTTGAGATCATTGACAAGATCCTCCCTTGTAGTTCTGGGCTGATTCCTCACTGTTCTCATGATCATTGCAACTCCACGAGGTGAGATCTTGCATGGAGCCCCAGGCCGAGGGAGATTGACAGTTATTTTGTGTTTCTTCCATTTGCGAATAATCGCACCAACTGTTGTCACCTTATCACCAAGCTGCTTGGCGATGGTCTTGTAGCCCATTCCAGCCTTGTGTAGGTCTACAATCTTGTCCCTGACATCCTTGGAGAGCTCTTTGGTCTTGGCCATGGTGGAGAGTTTGGAATCTGATTGATTGATTGCTTCTGTGGACAGGTGTCTTTTATACAGGTAACAAGCTGAGATTAGGAGCACTCCCTTTAAGAGTGTGCTCCTAATCTCAGCTCGTTACCTGTATAAAAGACACCTGGGAGCCGGAAATCTTTCTGATTGAGAGGGTGTCAAATACTTATTTCCCTCATTAAAATGCTAATACATTTATAACATTTTTGACATGCGTTTTTCTGGATATTTTTGTTGTTATTCTGTCTCTCACTGTTCAAATAAACCTACCATTAAAATTATAGACTGATCATTTCTTTGTCAGTGGGCAAACGTACAAAATCAGCAGGGGATCAAATACTTTTTTCCCTCACCTAGCCTTTAGAAAGTTGATGGGCACTCCGTTTTCTCGTGCAACTGCACAGCCTATAGAAATGTTGCACAACATGAGCTCTCATGAAGTGTTCGATTACATTTGCATTGATGTCAGAGTGATTAGAGGGACAAGAGTGTTGAGTACCAGGCAGTTTGCAAGTTTGGTAGGCTACAAATGACCAGCAGCAGCATCAGAGCTTGGAGAAGCCTAATTACCGTGACTAAATGGTCACGTGGAATTTGACTGCCTTCAAAACCAACACTCGATCCCTCTGATGTCAACAACTACAGACCAGTATCCCTACTTTATTTTCTCTCCAAAACTCTTGAGCGGGCCGTCTTTAGCCAACTCTCTTGCTATCTCTCTCAGAATGACCTTCTTGATCCAAACCAGTCAGGTTTCAAGACTGGTCATTCAACTGAGACTGCTCTTCTCTGTGTCACGGAGGCTCTCCGCACTGCTAAAGCTAACTCTCTCTCCTCTGCTCTTGTCCTTCTAGACCTGTCTGCTGCCTTTGATACTGTGAACCATCAGATCCTCCTCTCCACCCTCTCCGAGTTGGGCATCTCCGGCGCGGCTCACTCTTGGATTGCGTCCTACCTGACCGGTCGCTCCTACCAAGTGGCGTGGCGAGAATCTGTCACCACTGGTGCGCTCACCACTGGTGTCCCCCAGGGCTCAGTTCTAGGCCCTCTCCTATTCTCGCTATACACCAAGTCACTTGGCTCTGTCATATCCTCACATGGCCTCTCCTATCATTGCTACGCAGACGACACACAACTAATCTTCTCCTTTCCCCCTTCTGATAACCAGGTGGCGAATCGCATCTCTGCATGTCTGGCAGACATATCAGCGTGGATGACGGATCACCACCTCAAGCTGAACCTCAGCAAGACGGAGCTGCTCTTCCTCCCGGGGAAGGACTGCCCGTTCCATGATCTCGCCATCACGGTTGACAACTCCGTTGTGTCCTCCTCCCAGAGTGTGAAGAGCCTTGGCGTGACCCTGGACAACACCCTGTCGTTCTCCGCTAACATCAAGGCGGTGACCCGATCCTGTAGGTTCATGCTCTACAACATTCGGAGAGTACGACCCTGCCTTACACAGGAAGGGGCACAGGTCCTAATCCAGGCACTTGTCATCTCCCGTCTGGATTACTGCAACACGCTGTTGGCTGGGCTCCCTGCCTGTGCCATTAAACCCCTACAACTCATCCAGAATGCCGCAGCCCGTCTGGTGTTCAACCTTCCCAAGTTCTCTCACGACACCCCGCTCCTCCGCACATTCCACTGGCTTCCAGTTGAAGCTCGCATCTGCTACAATACCATGGTGCTTGCCTATGGAGCTGTGAGGGGAACGGCACCTCTGTACCTTCAGGCTCTGATCAGTCCCTACACCCAAACGGGGGCATTGCGTTCATCCACCTCTGGCCTGCTGGCCCCCCTACCTCTGCGGAAGCACAGTTCCCGCTCAGCTCAGTCAAAACTGTTCGCTGCTCTGGCACCCCAATGGTGGAACAAGCTCCCTCACGACGCCAGGACAGCGGAGTCACTCGCCACCTTCCGGAGACACTTGAAACCCCACCTCTTTAAGGAATACCTGGGATAGGATAAAGTAATCCTTCTACCCCCCCTTACCCCACCCCAAAAAAATAAATAAAAACATATTGTAAAGTGGTTATCCCACTGGCTATAAGGTGAATGCACCAATTTGTAAGTCCCTCTGGATAAGAGCGTCTGCTAAATGACGTAAATGTAAAATGTAAATGTAATGACTCGCGACCGCCGGTGTGGCATTAATACGGTCACCGCAATAGCCCTAGTCTGGATAAGAGTAAGTCTATAAATGTGTGACGTCTAAATAAATAATAACCCAGCCAATTTGCATGGTTGAGTGTCTATGTGTGTAACATGAAGTGAGTATAGCCTTAATATTCAGGATTATAATTGTAATCCATATCGTATCAACATCATAGTTGCATTAAACATCATTATTTAAAAAGCATTCACATGCCACGACTTGGCAAGCCTACAGAGCATCCATACAGTACGAAGAGAGAGTCGAGCAAGGCATCACAACTAGTAGGCAGTCACAAACACAAACAAACAATAACCATACAGGCAGCAGAGACACCTAATATGAATAAACCACATTTCTGATAACTAAATATTGTCACTGATAAAAATTCATCCATAAAATTGAGAGGAGATCGAGGGCAGAGTAAAACAAGAATGCTTTATCTCCAGTTTACCGATCTTCAAGAAAGGGAAAACTGAGAATTGGGTGAGGAGGAGTGGAAGGGAAGGGAAAGAGACAAAGCAAACAGGTAAGCACTAGTAGACACACACATAAGCCTAGAAAAACACAGAAACCCACAGAGCATTGACAAACGGTTTGATCACCAGGGTTGAGCTGAGCAAGGCGCCCAGAGATTAGGTGATTTGTTTCAATCATCTCAACATCCAACCACCTGGCTATCATTGAGGGGATCTACTACAGCCGGGGTGGATGGTAGTGTAGTCCATTACAGGTAAAACAGGTTGTAGACACGGGGTGGTACAGTCTAGCCCAGGTAGGAAAGCGGGTGGATGGGTAATGTAGTCTACTAGCCCATGTAGGACTACAGGATGAGCCGGGCAAGATCTCCATGAACCTAGGAGCTTTGTTCACGATTCATTATTCAGTTATAAAGGTAAGGTGATTTCTTAACAGTAGTGACCTTTAACAAAATGCATTCATATGCAAAGTACTTCAGATTTTTATAAACTGTAGGGATGCAAGTTATGTTATCTATCAGGAGAGCCAATTAAAAGTAGTGTGTGTGTGTGTGTGTGTGTGTGTGTGTGTTTGTGTGTGTGTGTGTGTGTTTCTGTGCTTAAAGCAAATTTAGCATATTTCTGCCAAATAATATATGTTTGGACTTCAGTTGAAATCCCAAGAGATTAAAATGTTGTAAACAGAAAACGCAGAACAAGAGGCTGATGTGTCACCCAGAAGAACCAGTTGGGATTCTAAACTATTGTCCCAGGCAGTCAACTCACCACAACATCAGCGCTCGTTTATTAATTACAGCTGAAGGCTATTACATAATCAAAAACACCAGACAGCCTGAGCCAAGTAGTGTTGAGTGATTAGTACTTTCTGAGGTCGATTTCGGTTAGATAGTTAAGGAATAATCACAGTTTCCGATTTTGATGATTTCTTTTAAAAACATTAAATGCATTATGCATTATGTGGGTTGAATGCTGTAACACAGAATAAAACAATTAATAAAAGTCCCATGATGGCAGTGACTGCTGATTACTGCTTTTCACTTAAACGTCATTTATTCACATTACTTTACTTAAATAAAATAGTTCAGCTGTTGTGTATATTACATTTGTTTTATTTGATGACTTTATTATTTAATTTCAAGCCATCATCTCAATAGAGCTGCTTCCTATGCTGTCTGACAAAATCACTATTTTAGTATTTCTTCAAAGTAAATAAGGCATACTTTTATGACTGCTGAATACCAACTATCAATCACTTAGATCATGTATTTTCAGGTAGAGATACCTCGAAGCAACTGCTCGCTATCCCTCTCGATCGCACATTCTTCTGTCTCTTTGTGTCTGCCTCACACAGACCGGACAAGTAGGCACGCAATGGATTATGGTCATTGTAGTTAATTACCAAGTTATGTGCTAAACTATGTAGAATATTGGCCTGTTGAAAACTACAACTCCCTACTACATTGCACAGTTCAGGCTTGATCTGATTAATCTCTAGAGAAACTGCGCATTGAGTTCACAGAAAAATCCCTAATGAAATGAAATTCAAATAATTAAAACTGACGGCAGTTAATTAGTTGTTTAAAAAGTGCTTGAGGCGTCACTACAGATCCGGGTTCGATCCCAGGCTGTGTCGCAGCCGGCTGCGACCGGGAGACCCATGAAGCAGTGCACAATTGGCCCAGCGTCGTCCGGGTTAGGGGAGGGTTTGGCCGGCCGGGATGTCCTTGTCCCATAGCACTCTAGCGACTCCTGTGGCGGGCCAGGCGCATGCACGCTGACACGGTCGCCAGCTGTACTGTGTTTCCTCTGACACATTGGTGCGGCTGGCTTCCGGGTTAAGCAAGCAGTGTATCAAGAAGAAGTGCGGCTTGGCAGGGTCGTGTTTCGGAGGACGCCTCTCCCAAGTCCGTACGGGAGTTTCAGCAATAGGACAAGACTGTAACTACCAATTGGATATCACGATATTGGGGAGAAAAAGGGGTAAAAAGTAAAACATATTTAAGAAAGTGAAACATAAGCCAAGGTCTTTTAATATTCTAATGTATTATTCATTCAGTCCCTCGTTGTGCAGTTAAATAAATCAACCAGAGGTCTGTATTGCAGTCCAGAGAGGAGGCTGATGGGGACTGGCAGAAAGAGGGAAAGAGATGGAGGGGGGTCTGGATCAGACACGTTTCATCTAAAATTGCACCCTATTCCCTATTTACTGCACTGTTTTTGAACAGGGCCCAAAAGTAGTACACTATGTAGGGAATAGGGTGACATTAGGGATGAAACCACAGTCAGAAAAACTCCCTCCTAATCTTCTCCTTCCACAGCCTTATGGGTTCAATAATGCAGGAAATATCGCAGAATTATGCAGACAGACACTGAAGGATTGGGAAAGGGGGTTCAAGCATCGCTTTATTAAAAAACATTGAATATGAAGGTTATTGTAGCCAATCTAGAGCTTGTTAAAGGTCCATGTTAAATATTTAGTATTTAATAAGATCCCAATTAGCTGCTGCCAAATTTACAAAATGTACACTATTGCAAAAATACAATATTACAATGTGTGGGTATGCGTAGAGTGTGTGTGTGTGTTTTTTTGGTTTTACTATCCTTGTGGGAACCAGAAGTCCTCACAAGGATAGTCAAACAAGGCCAATTCGGACAAGTGGGGACATTTTGCAGGTTCCAACAAGGAACAGGGCTATTTTAGGCTTAGGTTTAGGGTGAAAATGTATGCACTCACTAACTGTAAGTTGCTCTGGATAAGAGCGCCTGCTAAATGACTAAAATGTAAATGTTACAATTAGGGTTAGAAAAAGGGTTAGGTTTGAGTTAGGGTTAGGATTAGGTTAAAAGGGAAAACAGGATTTTTGAATGGGAATCAACGGTTTGGTCCCCACAAGGTTAGTAAAACAAATGTGTCTTCACAGTCCGTGTTGTGTTGTTTGAAGTTTATTTTTATCAGATTTTACTGATAGCATGGCTCAATGTAGTACTGTGCATTTCCCAGCCTCTGTTCTGGACTTAGGGACTGTGAAAAGGCCACTGGTGGCATGTCTTGTGGGGTATGTATGGGTGTCTGAGCTGTGTGTTAGCTGTTTGAACAGGTGCTTTCAACACATCAATACTTCTCACAAAAGACAGTGACGCAGTCAATCTCTCCTCTACTTTAAACCATGAGAGATTGACATGCATGTTCTTGATATAAGCCCTCCGTGTACATTTAAGGGCCAGCCATGCTGCTCTGTTCTGGGCCAACTGTAATTTACCTATGTCCTTCTTTGCAGCACTTGACCATATACAGTGGGGAGAACAAGTATTTGATACACTGCCGATTTTGCAGGTTTTCCTACTTACAAAGCATATAGAGGTCTGTCATTTTTATCATAGGTACACTTCAACTGTGAGAGACAGAATGTAAAACAAAAATCCAGAAAATCACATTGTATGATTTATAAGTAATTAATTTGCATTTTATTGCATGACATAAGTATTTGATCACCTACCAACCAGTAAGAATTCCGGCTCTCACAGACCTGTTAGTTTTTCTTTAAGAAGCACTCCTGTTCTCCACTCATTACCTGTATTAACTGCACCTGTTTGAACTCATTACCTGTATAAAAGACACCTGTCCACACACTCAATCAAACAGACTCCAACCTTTCCACAATGGCCAAGACCAGAGAGCTGTGTAAGGACATCAGGGATAAAATTGTAGACCTGCACAAGGCTGGGATGGGCTACAGGACAATAGCCAAGCAGCTTGGTGAGAAGGCAACAACTGTTGGTGCAATTATTAGAAAATGGAAGAAGTTCAAGATGACGGTCAATCATCCTCGGTCTGGGGCTCCATGCAAGATCTCACCTCGTGGGGCATCAATGATAATGAGGAAGGTGAGGGATCAGCCCAGAACTACACGGCAGGACCTGGTCAATGACCTGAAGAGAGCTGGGACCACAGTCTCAAAGAAAACCATTAGTAACACACTACGCCGTCATGGATTAAAATCCTGCAGCGCACGCAAGGTCCCCCTGCTCAAGCCAGCGCATGTCCAGGCCCGTCTGAAGTTTGCCAATGACCATCTGGATGATCCAGAGGAGGAATGGGAGAAGGTCGTGTGGTCTGATGAGACAAAAATAGATATTTTTGATCTAAACTCCACTCACCGTGTTTGGAGGAAGAAGAAGGATGAGTACAACCCCAAGAACACCATCCCAACCGTGAAGCATGGAGGTGGAAACATCATTCTTTGGGGATGCTTTTCTGCAAAGGGGACAGGACGACTGCACCATATTGAGGGGAGGATGGATGGGGCCATGTATCGCGAGATCTTGGCCAACAACCTCCTTCCCTCAGTAAGAGCATTGAAGATGGGTCGTGGCTGGGTCTTCCAGCATGACAACGACCAGAAACACACAGCCAGGGCAACTAAGGAGTGGCTCCGTAAGAAGCATCTCAAGGTCCTGGAGTGGCCTAGCCAGTCTCCAGACCTGAACCCAATAGAACATATTTGGAGGGAGCTGAAAGTCCGTATTGTCCAGCGACAGCCCCGAAACCTGAAGGATCTGGAGAAGGTCTGTATGGAGGAGTGGGCCAAAATCCCTGCTGCAGTGTGTGCAAACCTGGTCAAAACCTACAGGAAACTTATGATCTTTGTAATTGCAAACAAAGGTTTCTGTACCAAATATTAAGTTCTGCTTTTCTGATGTATCAAATACTTATGTCATGCAATAAAATGCAAATTAATTACTTAAAAATCATACAATGTGATTTTCTGGATTTTTGTTTTAGATTCCGTCTCTCACAGTTGAAGTGTACCTATGATAAAAATTACAGACCTCTACATGCTTTGTAAGTAGGAAAACCTGCAAAATCGGCAGTGTATCAAATACTTGTTCTCCCCACTGTAAGTGGGCTGTAGTCCAGGTGTGATAAAACTAGTGCCTGTAGGACTTGTTTGGTTGATTGTGATGTCAAGAAAGCAGAGCAGCACTTTATCACGGCCAGATCTCTCCCCATCTTAGCAACCGTTGTATCAATATGTTTTGACCATGTCAGTTTACAATCTATGGTTCCACCAAGCAGTTTAGTCTCCTCAACTTGTTCAATTGACACGATGCATTACAAGATGTAGATGAGGTTTAGGGCTTAGCTTTTAGTTTGTAATATATTAAGGACTAGCTTATTATTAGCCACCCATTCTAAAACTGACTACAGCTCTGTAAGGTTGCAGTGATTTCACTTACTGTGGTAGCTGATGTGTATAATGTTGTGTCATCAGCATAAATAGACACACAGGCTTTACTTAAAGCTAGTGGTAGGTCATTAGTAAAAATGGAAAACAGTAAAGGACCAAGACAGCTGCCTTGACGTATACCACACTCTACCTGGTTTACGATAGAGAGGTTTCAATGAAAGAAAACACTCTGTTCTGTTAGGTAGCTCTCAATCCACGATATGGCAGAGGATGTAAAGCCATCACATGCTTTTTTCAGCAGCTGATTATGATTGATAATGTCAAAAGCTGTACTGAAGTATAACAAAACAGCCCCCAAAATCGTATTATATAAATGTATTTCAATCAGTCATTTGTGTTAGTGCCGTACATGTTGAATGCCCTTCCTTATAAGATTGCTCAAAGTCTGTTAATTTGTTTACTGTGAAATAGCATTGCATCTGTTCAAACACAATTTCTCCCAAAAATGTACTAATGGTCAGTAGTAAGCTGATTGGTCAGCTGTTTGAACCAGTAAATTGTGCTTTGCTATTCTTGGGTAGCTGAATGACTTTTTCTTCCCTCCAGGCCTGAGGGCACACTTTCCTGTAGACTCAGATTGAAGAGAATAGGAGTGGCAATACAGTAGGTGCTAGGTGAGGGAAAGCCAGTGGAATATCTAATGAGTGTTTACGACCGGGCAAAGGTTGAAGAATGAGAGTAAAGGCTTTCTGTTTTATTGAAAAATGGTTAAACATTCATAACTTCATATCCACTTGGACACCCCTTCTATGATGTCAACGGGATGTGAATGAAGAATGTGATAAACAATTGTGAAAGGGCATATAAAACGTTTCCTTTTTTATTCACAAAGGTTCCTGACTGTGTGACAGTGTGTGTGTGTGTTTAATCATGATTACAAACATGTTTACCAGAGTCTCCCTTGTGCAAGAAGAGGAGCCAATCACTAGTTGACTAGCTGCCCTAAACTCTTGGGCCTGCCTTGCAATGAGGGATCGTGAAGATACTAGCAGTACATACTGGACCAGTAACACAAAACTAAACCAAGATGGGCCATTCCCCCTGCAGCCTTACCTCTGAGGTGGTGTGGTCAGCCTGCAGCTGCTCGTATTGGCTCTTGAGGCGTACCGACTCCTCCTCCCTCTCGCGTGTCATACTGTCCATCAACGTCTGCACCTGGATCAGCTCCTTCTGCAGTACCTCCACGTCCTCCACTCCCGGCCGCTGCAGCTAGGGGGAAGCAGAGAGATTTAGGGCAGAGGGACAGAAATTTGGGGCAGCAAAGAGGGGTTAGGGGTTACTGGACCACTTTAGGGTTAGGATGTAGGTTTGGGGTGAAAACAGAAAAAGGTAAATTGGAAATGTAAGTGTTGCTGGCAGTATAGAGTTCATAACATCATAAGCTCCCTTTCTGCCCTCTCCTCTCTGACATAGAAATGAATGACATAAATGAAAACTATCTGAACTACCTAGGTAGAGATGGTAACCCCAGCAATCCGTCATGAATAGTTCCTTCCTCAAGACTTGTTCCACTTCCTTCATATTAAAATACATGGTTATTTACACTTTACTCTGTTAAGACAACTAGACCTCGTAAAAAATTAAAATAAAATCTCCATGTATACATAAAAGTGAAGAAATGACCACATTAGGGGCGAACATCTATGAAGGCTCCAGGATATCCGAACAGACAACAACAAATTTGCTTAATTTCCGTTTGTTAGCTTTATCCGTGACTGTTCTCTTTGTCGACACATGGTTCTCTCGGAAACAAAGCCCAACATTCAATATGTTTACAAACAGGGGTGTGAACTTCCAATAGTAATAACTGTTACACAAAATTGGGATCTGCAAACATTTTTATAATTACGGTGCAGTTATCACAAAACAATTTTATAGCCTAACTAAACAATAGGCTTTAAAGGCCTGGGGAAAGTTGTGTAATTTAAATATAAACAGCATAGTGGGTCAATTTCTAAGAGCAACAACTAAGCATGAGGCTTTGGTGCCCTGGCTACCACACTGAACAGCGTGAAGCGAGCCCATGAACACACGCAGATACTGTGTGTGAGTGAAGTGTTGCATCTCGCTCATCTCAATATCCTAGCCTATTCATTGACGACAGGCCCTGCTTTACTGAAGTTGCGAGACATTGAAAGCCAAGAAATTGCGAGACAGCATTCCATTGCGAGATAACGCTTTTGATTGCCGATGGAGTCAGAACCTTGCACTAGGCCTATCTGTCTGCCTGGTGGCCGACCTGCCTATACTGTGCCCCTCCCCTCTTTCTCCGTCCCTTGCAAGCTCGCTATGAAAGATGCGAGCGTTTGTGTTCTCGGATGTACGGCAACTAATAATTCTCCTCCATTCCAAAAATACTGAATCTTAGGAGACGATTCCTGGCGGAATCTAATCTTGACACTCAGAAATAGGAGTTGACGCGCAAGGAGTCGAGGAATCTATTATTTGGGAGTCGACTCTCCAGCCCTACGTCATTGTCGTTAATAGTTGGAAAAACGGCAGAGAAAGACAAGCGACAGCAGCGAAGTCCTGTACAGCAATACTTTGAGAAATGAGAAGGAAATGCATGCTTTGCATGGTGGAATTGAGTTACAGTAATGGTAGTACAGGTGAAATGCTTAACCATCTGAAAGGGACGCACTGTGAGACCCAAACTGTACACGTGGAATTGTATGAATTTTTCTTATCGTTTTAATGGAAAACTGATAAGAAAACAGAATTTTAAACATTAAGAAAAATGTTCAATTTGTCACATCTCTATTTACTAACAAGTACTGAGTAAGAGGTGAAAATAAAACTCTGGAAATATAGTCTAGTCTGGGAGTAAAATATAGGCTACATGCAAATGATCATCAGTGCTCATCATTGAACGTTGACTTATTCTAAAATATTGTATAACAGTGTATTATTATTTTAGTGCACTGTGACATGTCTATAGCTGTACAGTATGTATAGGAAGTTTCCTACCTGTATGTGTGCCTGAGAGTGTGTGTACGCGTATTTGCATGACTGTGTGTGTCTAAGTGTGTGTATGCTTTTAGGCATGCATGTCTGTCTGTCTGTCTGCAGTCTCTGTTAGTTACCAGTTCTGTGTTGAGCCGGTCCTTGTCCTGCCTCTCGCTCTGCAGCTCCTGGCACAGGTTGGACAGCCTCTGGTCTGCAGCCTCCCTCAGGCTCTTCTCCTCATCATAACGAGACTTGATGTCTGTCAGGGTCACCAACATACCCATGTTAAATTGAATATCCCTTCACGGAACAATAAAGTATAAGATCTATCTATTTATCCTTGATCTTCTATCTTAACCCTAGCCTCTGAGCTAGTCACTGTACTATACCTGCCTATGGAACATCAATTTTTCCCAAAATGTGAAATTAAATGTTTGTTCAATGAAAGCAGCTTTAGATGAGCTAAATTAACTACAGTGAGCTCCAAAAGTAATGGGACAGTGACATGTTTTGTTGTTTTGGCTCTGTACTGCAGCACTTTGGATTTGAAATGATACAATGACGATGAAGTTAAAGTACAAACTGTCAGCTTTAATTTGAGAGTATTTTCATCCATATCAGGTGAACCATTTAGAAATGACAGTACTTTTTGTCCACCCATTTGTCCACCCTCAAACAGTCACACTCCAAACTCCACTATGGCCAAGACCAAAGAGCTGTCAAAGGACACCAGAAACAAAATTGTAGACCTGCACCAGGCTGGGAAGACTGAATCTGCAATAGGTAAGCAGCATGGTTTGAAGAAATCAACTGTGGGAGCAATTATTAGGAAATGGAAGACATACAAGACCACTGATAATCTACCTCGATCTGGGGCTACACGCAAGATCTCACCCCGTGGGGTCAAAATGATCACAAGAACGGTGAGCAAAAATCCCAGAACCACACGGGGGGACCTAGTGAATGACCTGCAGAGAGCTGGGACCAAAGTAACAAAGCCTACCATCAGTAACACACTACGCCGCCAGGGACTCAAATCCTGCAGTGCCAGACGTGTCCCCCTGCTTAAGCCAGTACATGTCCAGGCCCGTCTGAAGTTTGCTAGAGTGCATTTGGATGATCCAGAAGAGGATTGGGAGAATGTCATATGGTCAGATGAAACCAAAATAGAACTTTTTGGTAAAAACTCAACTCGTCGTGTTTGGAGGACAAAGAATGCTGAGTTGCATCCAAAGAACACCATACCTACTGTGAAGCATGGAGGTGGAAACATCATGCTTTGGGGCTGTTTTTCTGCAAAGGGACCAGGACGACTGATCCGTGTAAAGGAAAGAATGAATGGGGCCATGTATCGTGAGATTTTGAGTGAAAACCTCCTTCCATCAGCAAGGGCATTGAAGATGAAACGTGGCTGGGTCTTTCAGCATGACAATGATCCCAAACACACCGCCCGGGCAACGAAGGAGTGGCTTCGTAAGAAGCATTTCAAGGTCCTGGAGTGGCCTAGCCAGTCTCCAGATCTCAACCCCATAGAAAATCTTTGGAGGGAGTTGAAAGTCCGTGTTGCCCAGCGACAGCCCCAAAACATCACTGCTCTAGAGGAGATCTGCATGGAGGAATGGGCCAAAATACCAGCAACAGTGTGCGAAAACCTTGTGAAGACTTACAGAAAACGTTTGACCTGTGTCATTGCCAACAAAGGGTATATAACAAAGTATTGAGAAACTTTGGTTATTGACCAAATACTTATTTTCCACCATAATTTGCAAATAAATTCATTAAAAATCCTACAATGTGATTTTCTGGATTTTTTTTTCTCATTTTGTCTGTCATAGTTGATGTGTACCTATGATGAAAATTACAGGCCTCTCTCATCTTTTTAAGTGGGAGAACTTGCACAATTGGTGGCTGACTAAATACTTTTTTTCCCCACTGTATGTGCATTAATGATTACATCAAGCTTGTGACTCTACAAACTTGTTGGACGCATTTGCTGTTTGTTTTGGTTGTGTTTCAGATTATTTTGTGCCCAATAGAAATGTAATGGTAAATTTGGTAGTGTCATTTGATAATGATGAATGAGAAAGTTAGACGCACAAATATCATATCCCCAAGACATGCTAACCTCTCACCATTACAATAACAGGGGAGGTTAGGATTTTTTATCCGTAATCATGGTAGCATCCACATTAATGTAGACGCATATAAACATATTCTATTCTTACTTACAATAACAGTGACGACAAAATGACAATACATTATTTACCATTAATTTCAATTGGGCACAAAATAATCTGAAAACACAACCAAAACAAACAGCAAATGCATACAACAACTTTGTAGAGTCACAAGTTTGATGTAATCATTGCATACTAGGAAAATGGTACCAAATACTAAACCTTTGACTACGTTAATCCACAAGTGAATGTCCCAATAACTTTGGTCCGCTAAAATGGGGGGACTATGTACAGAAAGTGCTGTAATTTCTAAACAGTTCACCCGATATGGATGAAAATACCCTCACATTTAAGCTGACAGTCTGCCCTTTAACCTCAACGTCAATGTATCATTTCTAAAGTGCTGGAGTACAGAGCCAAAACAACAACAAAAGATTTCACTGTCCCAATATTTTTGGAGCTCACTGTATATATCAGACTCCACTGAACACAACACAATAGATTCACAATATGATATGAAGTGTGGAGAAGAACATCCACTGTGGTTTCTAACAGAGCAGCCAGCAGCACACACAGTGCTCCCAGTCACACAGACTCTGGATTTAAAGATGGCTGCCAGGCCACCACACACTAACCCACTATCTCTGTGGCCAGCTGGGCAGCCTTCTGCTCAAACAGGTCTTTCATCTGCTTGATGTTAAACTTCTCCGTCTCTGCCTGGTTCAGCTTAATCGCCAGGGCTGCACGGGGAAACGGAAAGGAATGAGCATCAATATCTCAGTGATTGAAGTCCGCTAGCAAAGTAACGAGACAGTAAGAATTCAAGAACTGGGTCGTGTTCATTTGAGGCACACCATAACAAAACGTTGTGCAAGAGAAAATGAAAACAAACATTTCTTAGTGGACGATTACGTATAGTACTTCTCTGTTTCGGGAAGGTTTTCTTCCATTTGGGGCTTAATGAACATGATCTTAAATCGCTCACCAGAATCTTCTGAGCCTGCCTGGCCGTCGTTCTGTGGACCCTGAAACGAGAGGAACACTGATATGTCCATACAAGCTAAGCAGTGTATCACGCATAAAAACTGCTTAACTGTCAAAATTGATTGTAGTTTGGTATTTTATCATCGGTTGACTGCTACCAGATCACCCTTATTTCATGTCAACTCCCTCAGGTATTCTGGTAAGATGAGAGAAGCCACGAAAAATGAATATTAAAATGTTTAATTTCTACGGGAGTGGCTGTAATGAGATATAATTTGATAGTAGGCATCTTAGAGGAATTACTTGCTTCAGGTGTCCTTGCACTTTGTCCAGCTCCTTCTTCAGCTCGCCAGAGAACCATCGCTCCTCCTGACAGATAAAACACGCGTGCGCACACATACACACACGTTACGCAGTGAAGATCAATTAACCTAAAATTCTCTATAGGCCTAATCTCTTCCCAAAATGTATGATGGTACCTTGAGCGAGGTCTGCAGTTCTTGCAACTCTTGCCGGAGAAGCATAAAGTCTTCCCTGGAGGAAGAAAGGAGAAGGACATTTACCTGAAATGTACTTTGAATGTTTATTATTATTCTGAATGTATACAGGACATTTTGTAATTACAGTACAAGACTAAAGGAGAAAATAAGGCAATAATGATGATTATGATGATGATAGGAGCTATATGGGAGAAAAAAAGGTCTAAAGCCTATAGTTCAAGGCTTTTGATGTCATTCATCGTAACCCATTGCTGAAAAAAAACATAGGTGTTATGGATTTTCATCCTCTGCCTTATTATGGATTGAGAGTTACCTATCTAATAGAACACAGAGGGTTTTCGTGAATGGAAGCCTCTCTCATGCAAATTCAGTTGAGTGTGGTGTACCGCAGGGCAGCCGGCTAGGGCCATTAATGTTTTCTGTTTTTACAAATGTCCTTCAATTAAGCCCGTGTGTATGTACGCTGACGATTCAACAGTATACACTTCGACTGCAACAGTAAAATAAATAACTGACACCCTTAACATAGAGCTCCAGTCAGTTTTAGAATGGGTAACTAGCAAAAGGTTAGTGCTAAATATCTCAAAAACTAAAACCATCATTTTTGGGACAAATCACTTGCTCACCTCATTTAGATCTATACTGAACATAAATATAAACACAACATGTAAAGTCTTGGTCCCATGTTTCATGAGGTGAAACAAAAGATCCCAGAAAATGTTCCATATGCACAAAAAGCTTATTTCTCTCGAATGTTGTTCACAAATGTGTTTACATCCCTGTTAGTGAGCATTTCTCCTTTGCCAAGATAATCCATCAACCTGACAGGTGTGGCATATCAAGAAGCTGATTAAACAGCATGATCATTACACAGGTGCACCTTGTGCTGGGGAAAATAAAGGGCCATTCTAAAATGTGCAGTTTTGTCACAAAACACAATGCCACAGATGTCTCAAGTTTTGTGGGAGCGTGCAATTGGCATGCTGACTGCAGGAATGTCCCCCAGAGCTGTTGCCAGAGAATTGAATGTTCCTTTCTCTACCATAAGCTGCCTCCAACATTGTTTTAGAGAATTTGGCAGTACGTCCAACCGGCCTCACAACCGCAGACCACGTGTAACCACGCCAGCCCAGGACGTCCAAATCCAGATTCTTCACCTGCGGGATCATCTGAGACCAGCCACCCCGACAGCTGATGAAACTAAGGAGTATTTCTGTCTGTAATAAAGCCCTTTTGTGGGGAAAAACTCATTCTGATTGGCTGGGCCTGGCTCCCCAGTGGGTGGGCCTTGCTCCCAAGTGGGTGGGCCCAAGCCCTCCCAGGCCCATCCATGGCTGCGCCCCTGCACAGTCATGTGAAATTCATAGATTAGGGCCTAATTTACACTGCTCAAAAAAATTAAGGGAACACTAAAATAACACATACTAGATCTGAATGAATTAAATAATCTTATTAAATACTTTTTTTCTTTACATAGTTGAATGTGCTGACAACAAAATCACACAAAAATTATCAATGGAAATCAAATGTATCAACCCATGGAGGTCTGGATTTGGAGTCACACTCAAAATTAAAGTGGAAAACCACACTACAGGCTGATCCAACTTTGATGTAATGTCCTCA